TTCATTCAGCGATGAGAATCGGCGATTTTTAGATTGGTCTAAGAATAAATGCCCAATTATCTTTTTTATGCAGGAAGAATTTTTTAAAATGTAAATACGATTATATAAAAAATAGACTTATTAGAATTGCAGTTTAATTGAATTATCAGATTCTTCTTTTTTCTTTTATTACGTTTATGTGTTTTCTTACATATTTTGTTTATATATTATATTACTTTTAATTTTTAACAGAAAGACTTAAGAAAGTTGTGATAATAGATATAAAACACGCTTGCGTAGCATGTAATGTTTTAAATATCACATATATCTGTAGGTTTCTTTCAATATCGTTATGCCGCCCTCATGCCTTGTTCATTCTTTTTACGTCAGCAGCAACATGGTGCTGCAATCTTACGACAATCTGTAGCATTATGCACTTACAGCTTCTCAAAAGTCGGTAATATTATCATCGTTTTTCAACAAATTGATTTTTTAATTATTTATTTAGAATTATAGAGTTGATGTTCTTTATGCGTTGAAATATTTTCGGGGTATAGAGAAAAAAGTTGTCCTCTCGATTAATCTTCATTAAAACAACCGGTACACAACCAACAATTTTTTAACAATGCTTACATATTGAATTGTGTTGCTACAAGATGAGAAAAATTTATACTCGAGACGAATCTTTATTTATTGAGAAGGACCAGACTTTGTTAAAATAATCAATTAATGCGTGACGAATTCTAATACTAACAGTGATTGATGCGATTGTGACAAAGGATTTTGTTACAAAAGCCTTTTCTAAGAAAAAAAGAAAATAGACAAGGGATTGACATATGCGAAAACAGTGAACCTATTTAAATAAAGAGAAGAAGGTTTAGATTTACAAAAAAAAATTAAAATTAATCTGTGGTATATAACATCATTATGTAGAACGTAGTCTGAAAATAATGAGGATTCATTGTTTTTTGTCTACGAAGATCCAAAGAATAATTTAGAGAAATATTTACAGCAAATTTTTTTGTTTCTTTTTTCGACACAGTTGAGTTGAAAAAAGTTTCTTTACATGTTTCGATTTAATCTTCGAATCGGTACGAACAATGACTAAAAATTTTGAACTTATTTTTTAACAATATTTATTGAATTGAGATAATTAACTAACAGCATATTGGAAAAAAAATGATGCTCTTCAACAAATAATTATGTAATTTTAAACATTTACTTCTTTTCTAAATTGTACGCATAAAGAATTTAATTACATTACATATATACAAAATGATGATTACATTTGTAATGTTGATCAGAATAAAATAAAAAAAAATGGAGAGGAGAAGAAATGTATGATTATAATTACACGATCTCGTATTATCGAATTATATATAGTATATTTTCTAATCATAGTAATACTGTTCCATTAATAACTGTTACATTAATTACAATGCGGTAATGAACTAAACGCGTTACTGTTGATTACCAATCAGGAATTAATTATACAAGAACCAAAGAGCCTAGATTCGTCAGGCGTGCACCTTCGCATGGACATTCAAATAGGAAAGGGTAATGAACGCAACATCGATTATCCTCGCGTGTATTATGTACTTATATAAACACATTTGCCCAATCTGTATTGGAATAATAAATCCGCATAATGTTGTAACTAGCTACGTACAGAGAATTGTCTACGTTACATATGTACCAAGCACCGGAAAAACATCACAATTATACTTTTAATAAAATTCGAAGTTCACGGTGACTCGAAGAAGAATATATTTTCCCTATGGAAAAATATTACTGAATTCGCGAAAACACAATTGGAAACGCACATTGGAAAACCATTCGAATCCAACATTGTACATTATTCGTTCCAATAGTTTTTTCTTTACTAATCCAATATTTTTCCACAAGGAAAATATCGGTTTACTAGCGTTATCTAGCCTTACTTAACATTTGTGCTTACGTCTGTCGCGATTATTTTCAATATGATCATTGTGAAAAATTTGTACGTCTTTTGCGTGACCAATATTTTCGGTGCTTCGTACTTAATACGTAATACGTTCGCGTATAGTATATTGTCTCGATATTAAACATACCGAAATAATTAGGAGCAAGAGTCATCGTCTCTGTATCCGAAGGTTTGATTTCTGAAAAAATACTGCGCTCTGTAAATATGGAACTCTATAGGAAGGATTTGCCTTTTAACTCGACAATTTGTATACGGCGACGTCCGCCGACGGGCGCGTTTCGAAGCTCATACAAAGCTTATACAAAGAGTAAACGCTAAACGTCATCTATTTCCGCGCTTCTTTGATTCCTACGCAATGTAAAATTTGTCGCTTTGTCTCTCCTCCAAAACTAGCGTATTGCACGTAATTCCGTTCTGTTTACGTGGACCCGGATGGCCGTGGGAAGGAATGCGTATACGAAATCGTTGTTCGTGATCGGGTGATCATGGGAATGAAGATGTGCATTGTGAGGTATGAACAGCTTTTCTGTTTACAGTAATGCGGATGACTCACTTAGCTAAGGAAACGTAACGGTAATAAAGCTGCGAAGAAAACAAAGTTCGACGTAGAAGGGATGAAATGTCTATACGAGGGTAAATGCACAGTAAAAGTGAAGAGATAATACGAAAAACATTTAGCTTAAGTTTTGTACACTGAGATGTAATTGACTAGCTCTACGAATGGAAAACATTGATTTTCGGGTATTCGAGGCCCGAGACTAGATATCAGGAGACCCTTTGCTTTAAAATAGCGACCCCCTCCCCCTCCTTTGAGCAATCCTTTGCGTATCTACCAAACTTTCGTAATTAACAGCGATTGCACGTCCTAAAATCCTTCGAAATATATAACTCACTCTCTTCCTTTACGTCAGTTAGGAGAATTTATACGTTTGTAATAAATCTTTATTTTTAATCGATTCCCTCGGTTTCATAAATAATTAATCCTAGTTATTGCACTTGTCCGGTAACAATAATACACGGAGAGAATTTTCTTTTAAAATTTACCCTGAAAATCATGTTAATTATGAGACAATATAGTATTTAGGTAAATTTTACTGTGCACTACAATAAGATTTCGCAATAAAATTTATTGTAGTGCACAGTAAAATTTATCTAAATACTATATTATCTCATAATTAACATGATTTTCAGGGTAAATTTTAAAAGAAAATTCTCTCCGTGTACAATCGCTAAAAATTATCCGTCCGTCACATATTGCGTTTCATGATGAACAATGATAATTACAATAATATAAATAATATTTTGCGGAACAACTCGGAGAGATTATCTTTATGAATGTCATTGAGATTCAATGATACAAGCATCTCTCAATATCTAGCCCGTTGAGAAGCCACGTCGACCTTAGCTACTTATGGATGGATTACATGTGTTGGGCCTTTACGGGCATAAAAATTCTACACGAACAAGAGAGAGCTCCCTTCGCCCCATCGTCTGCTCTACTTACCAATACGCTTACTAAAAACTAACTTACTACGACAATAGATATACAATCACGGTAAAGACTTTCGATTTTATCGATTCGCGATTCTGCAGCGGCTCGGCACGAGAGACCGCTGACGTCAGCGGTAGCGACTATAGTCTCTTAGAACACAAGCCTTCTTTTATACTTTTTTTTTATAGTTACTCCCAAATTCTTGCACCTTATAAAAGAGTGCTGTTTAAAAAAAAGATTTGTGCCTCGCTACGTTAGTTTATCTTAATATAATATGAAGTAAACGATAATATTTAATTTATACATCAGTTGTGGACTTTGAACTTCGTTTGCCGTATCTTAAAATCGCATCAAATTGCACTAGAAACATTTGAAGTGTCAGCGGGCGAATATTTGGGAGTGAACGGTTTGGGTATATAAAGCATTGCTTTGGCATCTTTGGAGCATTATATTTTCAAGTAAATTGGCGGATAGAAATTGTCGCTAATTCTTCGACAACACACGTATATGTAATGTTTTATTTTTTTGAGATCAATAATTCTCGCTTTTTTTTCTTTGGTTGTTTTCTAGTCATTGAGAACAGTGAATTTGGTTTGCTAAAGAATTACAGTCTACTGATTTGCCTTGCGAATAAGTTAAAACTTCTTTATAAAAATCTATCTACTGCAGAATAGAAGAATCGGTCAGTAATAATCTCTATAGTGGAACAGTCATGAATCGCTCGTTATCTTTGAACGATATACAGGGTGTTTCATAATTCGCGTCCGCTAATTACATTACAAATGCTATTCTCTAATGAAAAACGAGTCGAAAAATCCTGAACCATTTTTGCTTCCTTAATGAAGGAGATATTATTGAATAACGTCCACCTAGTCTAAATCTGCGCTCTTATTCCTAAAGAATAGCGCTATGTAATTAGTAGACGCGAATTATGGGATACCGTTTATATCTTCGACAATATATCCTACAATATTTTAAGCTTACGCATCTGATATTAACCCTATTCCATATTTTACGCACATTGAATTTTCACATTCGATGGCAGTCGAGCGCAGATCAGGCCGGTCGATTTTGCAAATGCTTACCTGTAAATAACTCGAAATATTTTGGCGATCAGGGAGCTTAGCCTACACGAATAAATTACGTATTATAAAGTGAGACGGATGCGATAATATAGGATTGCAACACGATATTTTATCAGTAAATCGTGCTTTTATCAGTAATTAATACAATTTCAATCGCCGACTTGATCTGCGCTTTTCTATTTGAACATTCATCTTTTTACAAAATTCACACGGAGAACACTCGAATCGGACGGTTCAATATGAACTCACGATTCGCAAATATTGTGTTTCGCGGCTTTACTTTAAACATACACGTTTAACATACAGTAGGAATATTAATTTGACGTGTTCGATTCCGAGTTAAACGTAATAAAAGGATATTAATTTTTTACATAAAAAAGTAAAAATCTGAATTTTTTACATTTTTACGATTATAAATCACAAATGAATGTCAATAAATTAATAAATTATTGTTTAAAAATTACTAATTGAAAAATATAAAATACGTAAAAGGAACAATACCACGAAATAATTTCCTATAAATTTAATGATTTTATAGGTATTTATTATTATCTACTTATTTATCTATCTATCGGCACATTAAATCAAAGTGAAGATCTCTATATTTTTCATCTAACCAGCAATTACGCGTCATTATAGATTACTTTCTGCACGATAAAATTTAATAAATTTTAAAATGTACTTCTCTAAATACATATATTGCGCATTGATACACATGGCATTTGCCAGAAACAATGGCTATGCTTTGGCATGTATGATATTTTTCTTCCGATTTCCGTTTCGACGTTGCTAATCTAACGTAGAAGATATGACGCAAATGGTAGCAACTAACAAACTTTAACGAACGAAAGAAGTCAACAATTACAACCAATTCTATACAAAAGGCATATATTCAGGTCTGTAACGAAGAACGCATATATAAAAATTAACGATGTTAAACTTTGATGTTAATAATCAAATAAATGAGGATAAACGTCGAAAGAGTCAATCTCTTCAAAGCGACAAGGAATATTTGTAAAACACCATAGCAACTTGGAAAAATTGGACTGCACGAACGCTTCCCTTTAATCATCAGTCCTCTCGTGCTTCTTCTTATCACTAACAGTGCGCGGATGACTCAGCTAAAGTGGACCATCAATCATCCTTAGAAAATATGCGGCGCCAGCTGTAGCTTCCAAAGAGAGACCGGCCTGGCGAACACCGTGACTTGACCCTTTTCTTTGCCGCCGACCAAAAAAACGTACAAGGGCGCCGGTCCGTAGGAAGGTGTTTTAGCGTCGGTCGCATCCACCGCCGCCACCTTTGCCCTCTGCCTCTCGGCCCTCGACGCGCTCACCGCTCTTCTTGACGGCGAGCCCAACGGCAAGCTCTTCGGTGGCGCTCGAGGCACCCTCCTGATCTCCTGTAGCTCTAAGAGCTCCGCGAACGTCTGCGAAGCCGACCTTCCAGGTTCGTCCTCCAATACGCTATCGGGCGGACTGTTGAGTAACTTGGCATACTTTCCGTCTTGTTGCTGCTGCTGCTGCTGCTGCTGCTGTTGCTGCTGTTGATGATTATGGTGATGATGATGATGGTGATGGCCAGTTTTTGTTTCGTCCAGACCAAGGTAGTTCGGATTGCAGAAACCGAATTGGCCCTCTCGTATCGTCGACGAAGTGACAATCGGCCTGTGCGGCTTCGATCTTCTTCCGGACACCCAGTCGTCGTCCGCGAGCGGATCGCCCGGACTTCTCGCCTCGATACTCGCGTAATCCGACGTCGATTCCTCGCCCTCCTCGAGATCGGCGAATCGAACGGAGGCGGACGTAGGGATCTTCGTCGCCGTCGGAGTTTTCGGCGTTTGCAGAGCGGCTTCGTAAAGGTGCGAACTGTAACTCTCGCCGCGAGTCGGCTGGCAAGCCTGGTGCACCGCTGCGAAATCTCTGTAACGAACGAATGTAAAGAATCTCGATGCTTAACAAATTAATTGAATACTTGCAGTTATCTTGTAAAGGCAGTTTACCGTCTTTCCTCTTGAACTTCGATCAGTCTCGACGTGGGCGGCTCCTTGCGCTCTTCGGTGTCGCTATTCTCATCTGGGTCAACGAAGACCAATCGGGCGGCCTCTACAGGCGTGAGAACAGGAGTTGGTAACGTCAAAGCACGAAAGTTTGGCACCGAAATAGGATCTCTGGTCATACCAGAAGTATTGCTAGTATTGCTAACATCAATCGTCCTCGCCATTCCCTCCGACGCTTTCTGCCTTCGGCGGGCGAGCGTATTGGCACTGCGAGATTTCACCATTCCCGTGGAGGGCTCGATCACTTCGACGTCCACTTGCTGAAAAGGATAATACGTGTTTGCCTGCATGCAGGCCTAATTGGCATATAAGGGCGCATCTACTGGGAATGTCAGAGGGAACCTTATGTGGACATACGTACCTCCTGGGGACTTTCTTCATTATCGTCGTGTCCGCTGAGAACTGAATAACTGCACTTCGTCGGGTGACTGAGCCTCGACAGGTTTATTTGCGATAACTTCGAAATTTCCCTGAGAAAGCTGGGTCTGGCGGAGGGTGCCTCGTTTGGCGATATTCTATTGCTCGACAGCCTAGGCCTCTGGTTTCTCAGCCGCGGTTTCGAGTTGTCTATGCCCGTTCCGCGAATCAGCAATTCAGACACCGCGAGAGCGACGCTTTCAGCTCTCGGCTGTGGTTTCGGCCCTGACACTGTTAGCTTCTCCCAGGTTTCTGTGCCTGTCGAAATATTTAAATATTTCACCTTTATGAAGTGTTTAAACAAAAAATAATAAAAAACACAATAAATTTATCTATGAGAATCATATAGTAATCTACACTTAAAACTTTTATATCATGACAATGTGACAACGCGTACCGAAATGAAATCTCCATAGCTCGTTTGTCGCCAAACCGCCGCTCTCACCGCCAAAGATCAGCATGCAGCTTGGCAATCTGCATGCCGCGTGGCCATGAAGAGGCCCGGGGCCTGGTTTGCTCTTCAGCATGGACCACGAAGCACTGTTGACGTCCCATCGCCAGCAATCGTTCCTCTCTTGTAGATCCGTCATCCCGCCGTAAATGTACATCGCATCGCCGTGCAAAACCGCTGAATGCTTGTGCCTCGCGGCCGGCCCGCACTCGCTCGACGAAAGCAGATGCCAAGATTCAGTCTCTGTAATGTTAGACAAGTTCGGAGTCGCTAAGTGTTATTATTGATCGAGCTAGGTACGGGATGCAAAACAACGTTATATACCGAAATGGAAGGCCCACAGTTCAGAGGAGCTCCCACGTAAATCTTGATAACCGCCGTATATGAGCATTTGTCCGCGATGAACCAGGGCGGTGTGACCTCTCCGGCCCCTAGGAATCACGCAACCCCGTTGAGCTCTCACCTTTCTCCATATATTTGTCTGAAAATCATATAATCGTTCGTAGTTAGATCATTTAGTCGATCATTTAGCTGTCTCGTAATTCGGATTATTTTTCTTAAGGAAATGCTTTCCCGATTACAAACGAACTTGATCCTACATCCTTGTACAATTTTTAGCGAATTCTCGCGAAGATGACATATAATAAGACCGGCCCGCAACAAAGGGGATAAAGACCTCTAATTTGCGGCCCTCCAATTCTGCCGTCTGAATAGACTCGGCTTTAACTCTTGGGGCTGCGATAATCGTCGTTGCCATCGCCACTGAATAGAAATGCGAGAATTATTCTCTCACCAGTTGCAACGCGAATTCTGGTAAATATTTTATTCGCCAAAACGTATACGCCTGCACAATATGTACTGTAATAAAACTTTGTCTGCTTAAGTATTCATTAGACAACTGTATTTCTCTCTCTTTCTCTCTCCTCCTTTCTCTGTTATTATTACATAATATATATAGTGTATATTTTTAATACAGTTCATTTATAATTTCTATAATATTAATAGAAGCAAAGTAGAAACGGCATTTCATAAACGTGAAGTTTAAAAAGTCGTATAAAATATTATATCGTATTAATATTCCGCCCCATGCGAAAAATATTTATTTATACAAATTGAAACGGTTTTCACTGATGTCGAAGGCGTAGCTTAGCAACGTACAAAAAATTATTACGGGGGGGCGAGAGGCGTAGTCGGTATTCACCGGCGAATATTTGAGCTTGGTAACGCATTTATAACCCGAGCTTTCATCCAGTCACGAAAAGCATGCGGCTGCTTGAAGGAATGTATGCAATATGTAAAGCCACCGGCAAGGTATTATAAAACTATAACGTGGATATATTACGAGCGAGAATATGCGCATTTGCAAAGATGAATAATTCGAAAAATACATATATAGTAATATATACATATGGGATTATATCAAACGCTATAAGATTTTATGCATATACGTAAGATTGATCGAATTTTTAATATTCTGTTCATAATGTTATACAATTGAAGATAAGACATTTTAGATATTTTATGAAGGTTTATTTAAATATTACTTATGCAAAATACTATGAAAAGACTTTTATGACTCTTAAAATATACGAAAGAATATTCTCTTCAAGTATCGTTATAAAGGCACATAGATTTATTTTTAACCATGCCGTTACCTTGGAAAAATTTCCATGAAAAGTGTGCCGCAGGAAAAAAAGCATTCTTCGCATGTCCATTATATTTACACGTATCGATGAAATCAATACGCTACCTCCCCTCCCCCCCCTCTCCCTGCCTGAGAGAGAGATTTATCGCTCGGTCTAGCAGAAAATTCGGGCGTGCGTATCAATACTGGCGTTTTAAAATCGCATTAGCCTTCTTCTTTCGAAATATATCATGGTCCATGGAATTGCAACATGGAGATGAACAAATGGACCGTGTAACTGTCTGGTGAATACACTTGAGAGGATCACTCCCTTTCCGCGCGACGAGGACTACAACCGAGATACAAGTTACCAACTTCAGATTTACCCAAGAGATGATCAAGTCGCTCTAATCCATCGGCTTTAGACGCGCGCACTTTATGTAATTACTTTCGACACTCTTAGTCGGCAACGGCTATCTCTGTAGCCGTTCGTCGCGCATCGACACAGACACCCACACACGTGCTCGTATCACAGGGACATAGAAAATCAGCGTGCCTCGCGATGGACATTTTCCCGAGCAGAGGTAAAAGACCTCGTGATTGCCGCTGCACATCAAAAGGACTACCGGTGTTCGTTCCGCTCTCCGAGGGTGCTGTGAATATCTATTACCCTCGGGATATTTAGCCATGTTTATGAATATATGTATATCGTGTATGAGAATAGCTGATATTTTACTGTATGAATTTTAGGCAAAGGAAATTTGTGAATCGTAAAAAAAAATCCAAACAGATATTAATCTTATTATGCACTGTCGTAGCGCAGAATGGCTTTGTTTACTCACGAAAAACCTAAAGAGTTTTTTCGGAAATTACAATTGTAAAGGAAATCGAATGTATGCTACGCACATGCGGCTTCTTTCACTTTCTATTCTGAAAACACGGTAGCGTTTTAACGAAGTACAGAGGGAAAGTGAAAGAGATAGGAAGGTAAAGAAAGCAGGGAGAGAACAAACGCACCGTGCGACCCCTCCGGCTTAGCCAATCAGGCTGACGCATTCGTAACGCAGATTTCAATAATACACGGCGACCAGACAGAAACAGCGAAGGGATACCACTCGTATTTTCTCCATGGTCTAACAATTAAAAACAAATGGACCAAGAGTAACCATGGTAACTCAGCCAAAAAAATCTCGGGGCATATACGAAATAGCGGGAAAAGGGTTGACTGCGTTTTCCCGTTGGATATAATTTTTACTTCGACTGTAACAAAATTATATTCTTCTCGAGCATTCGTAGTTTGTAAAATTTGAGGCGTTATTAGCATCCAAAGCAGGTAACGTTTAGAAAAACGTAACATTTTATTGAATTTCATAATGTTGTTGATGAATAAGATGGCGAAAGAATAGGCAGACAATGAAAACTATGTAAAAAGGATTGTCGCAATAATGCAGTAGATGAAACCTATCGAGTGAAAGAGATAACCAGCTATTGCTGACGAAGGAGAATCAGTATGACTGGTTACATTTATCCGCTCCATACCAAACCGTATATCAAACCAATATACAATATGCAATTCAGTGCAAACTTGCAGATTTGTGGTAAATGCATTTACACGAATGAGACTAGACGATTTTATTTAGATTAATAAGAATTAATAGAAACAGAATAGAGAACAATATTTTTTATAAATTTATGGCTTTTTAAATTAAAAAAAACCGACATTTTAACTTGTCCAGCTTAATAAATAAAAAAATAACTGACGGTTCGCTGAATCGATGACGCGTGATGTTTCGCAGTCTACGCTTGATGCGGATATATTAATTTTTAATGCCTCGCACGTGAGTAGAAACTACCCTTGGGAGAATGAAGCCCTGTCTGGTTTCAAGGGTACGAATCGGAGAGAAAGCCTGTTAACACCAGCTGCTGCCAAAAACCACCCTCGACTTAAATTGCTCTTGAAGGTTCCGTGAAAGATGTACCGCCTCTGAATATTGTATGAAATTAGAGAGTACGTCAGCAAATGTTGACACTGTCACAAGAAAAGTGAAAATAAGAATCAACATAAAATTTTATAATATAATATATAAAAAATATAAAAAAAACACAAACAGGAACTTGATTTGATTATATGAAAAATTAATGTGCTTACGTTTTTCCTTAAAATTAACTTTATTATGGAAAAATTAGTATAGTTAACTTATAAAAATTATTAATTTCTTTTTAAATTCTTACGCTCTTTGTTTATTTAAAGAAATAATTAAAAAAAGAAGTTTAATTATTTTCGCGAATTTCGAATTTTCTTTCCCGCGGTACGCCTTTGTTAAAACTGAGATTCGAAATGCATTAATAAATCGAAATTGTGTTAAACTCAATATACATATTGAAGATAACTTAAATCACATAAATTTATTCCATAGACACAGTTATCTGTTACTTAATAATTGCTTGGGATATCACATCAATTTGAAATTAATTTGAGATCCAATAGTGCAGTTATGTATTCTGAAGATTGATTGCAATCTAGTAGCATATCTTCGAAATTGGAAGTAATGCCAGTCATTAGTCGATGTCGATGCATTTCCTTGTTCTCTTAGTATGAATGAAACGTTATACATAGACATTCTCTCAATAATCGAGAACGCAATATGTTACATCAGAGTTGAAATGGAAAATCTAATTTCCAGACAGGAAGCATAATATTCAACATACCATTGTGAAATCGTGAAATAATTTCTGATAACTCTTATAGATCTAATCAAGAAAATAAAATGATGATCACGTGCATCAGTTAAATCTATTCACTTAATTTCGGATGTCTATAAGATTATTGGGATATTTCCGCAAGAATAATACGTTTTATCTGGAAATCGCTATCAGGATTTCAATTGAATTCGTTATCAGGATTTAGTTAAGAACGATCCATGCGGTCTGATTAGATGAAACGACGAGCAGCTTCCGAATAGCCTTCGGGCAATCGCCATAACTGTTTCGATGATCAGACGGAAGGTTTGCACCCCTTCGATTTGGTAAACGAGACGAAGGGCAATATTGGACAACTGCGTCAAAGTTGATTGACAATATCGCGCATCGATACCTTTCCCTTTTACTTAAATTTCAAGTGTACCCGTATATAGAGCCAAACTGTAATCTCATATTAATTAAACAATAAAAAAACATTAAAATAACACATAAGATTAAAATATATATGTATATAATTCTCCTCCGGAATTATTTGATCACTAAAATAATTTGATTATTTAACGATTCAAACGACGTAGCGTATAATTTGCATATTACAAAATATATATTATTAAAAAATTATATATTTTTTGTTAAAAATAAAATTCTTTGATAAAACGCGAGTTAAAATTTACTATAGATCATGGTAATAAGTTCTCTTACATGACAGGCAAATTATTAGGACAAACGTTATTTTCGTGAGCCAAGATTGGTCGATGTCTGAACTAGATCAGACCCGTTTGCGAGAATCGACGAGAAGCAACTTCGATTCCGAGCTTCGTACATTTCGCAAGATTGATTTTCCGCACGCGAGACCATCTTCCTCGAACCGGAAGAGGCCAACCACCCCGCGTTGCTCGTTTCGCGTCGCACTTATTATTCTCCCCAAGGAGTGCTTGACACTGCGTGGATCACTACAGGGATAACAACGGCAGCATTTGGTGAATTTCTACACGTGCTCGATTCGCGAGCCGCTATTGGCAGGATAAGCCTCGGTTACCCTTGGTAGCTTGTCATCCGCTGCTAAAACCATCCCTCTGCGTCACCGCACGGAGGCGAGGGAAAGTGACACGCTACCGCGCGTAAAACTCGTAACCGATGACGTTGCTATCGATTAAGCGGACGTTTCTCGAGGGTGCGATTTTTCCGTCTCTCGTTCTCGCTGCCTTCTCGACGAGACCTCCCCTTGTCGTCGGGGAAGATCATTAAGAGTTTTCTCAATGCGGCACGTCGCTGACTCGTCGGGATCGTTATCAGAAGTGTGTGAACACGCCGATGTTTATCGCACAAAAGTGTTTCCGCTCTAAGCGCTATTATACTTAATTATCGCGTACGCGATAGATGATTTTGCGTTCTTACACTTGTATTTTGCGAAGCATTACCTTGACGTTGTAAACCCAGAGTGGCGTCTCCGTTCCGGCAGAGAAGCCGAGCTCGCCGCCGAAAACGTAGAGGCAATCCTTATACGCCACCGCGCTGTGTTCCTGAAGGGCCGGCGGTCTTTCGCCGCCCGGATGCAGTTCCTCCCACTTGCTCTCCGCTGAAAAAGAAACAAAGAAAATCTTGTCACGTAATCCGACATTCTTATTTTCCGGGTTAGGTATGCAGCTATTATGGAAAGTGCACGTGTTACAAATGCACGAGAAAACGTGGAACTTTTCTAATGCACTCGTTACATTTTCATAACAGACTCTCAGTAGAATGTTTATTTCATATATTCTAGTTTTTAATCAAAGAATACAATCGCTTTTCAACGTGATAAAAATACTATTTTCAAATAACAATTACGAAATTTTGCACTTTGCTTTTTTTTGGCAATTGCAGGCGGGTTTTTTATATCTTGTAAATTCTTACACAATTAATAATTTAGCACAATTAATAAATACATCTTTTATATTTGACAACACGAAGAGAAATTCTTTCGGAGTAAAGATCTGGTATTTCGATCGTAATGACGACAGTTTGCGAAGGGAATATTAAAAATCTCTTATGTACCCTCTTAATAAAACAGACAGTCTGAGCGTCCTTCGAAACTATCGCGAAGAGGAAGGCCAGAGCTCCCCTGGCGAAGGTATAAAAGATATAAAAGAGCGAGAAAAGCTCGCTCGAATAGCGCATAAATTTGCGTTTTTTATCGAGATGTTCTTCAGACGAGTATCGAGGTGAATCTAAAGATATTGCTACATGCGCCAATTATTATTTCTTTCTCTATTCGTGCATTGACTCGTTCGCGAATTGATTTTATGCCTTCTCTCGAAGTAATCTTATTCCTGTGTTCCAGACGATAGCGCAAGAAGCTTTCTATTAGATTTTAATCTATTAGATTTTGATCTATTAGGTTTTGATGAATTTTTATCTAATAGATCTTAATAGGCCTTAATAGATTTTGATTTCCATTATACTACACCGTGAAATCTTATTACTCGTTTATTTTGTATCAAATTATTTTTTAAAGGATCTATTTTATATCCTCTTCTTTCCGCAAGCACGCTCTTCTCTATGATTTCACATCTTTCATATCGTGCCTTCCTTTCATCCCACGACCCTCATTTCTGTCCCTTCTATTTCACATCTTTTTTATTCACGCGGAACCGCTTTGAGGGGAATGATAATATCCATAAATAAACGGTAGGATGAAATATGTGTGATTCGTGAACGACATTATATTCGTGCCGACACTATCATCTAATTTCGCAATATCCGCGAGAGCTTCAGCTTCTCTCCTCTCGGAACGTGCTCGAGAACAAAGACCTAGGTAAGGACCATAACGTGCCGGCTCAAGCATCTTCGGTGCCGTTGGAATGATACTAGATGCCCGACATTGATTACGTAGTACACGTGTCGTATCTCGTAGTTTTGGCAGTGGAACAATGCCTGCCTTTGTCTGAAAGCGTGCATTGCAAAATTGCAGCGTGTTCGATGCACACAAAAGATCCGAAGCATGGATGTACATGCTTCGTACAACAATTTAGCCACTGGAGACCTATTTTCGCCTCTTTCAATGTCTTCGCGGCATAAGTGGGAATATCATATTAAAGATATTTCGCGTAGAAGCTTTAAATAAAGAGAAATTCATATTTTTTTTGAGAAAGTAAAAATACAGTCTTTAAATTAATTTGGATATCTCCCCTTCTTCTTTGCAATATTATTTCTTCTATCAATTTAATTTTCTTTCAAAGTATGCTCCTCTTCAAAAATAGTTACCTGTCTAATAATCCGATAGGAGAGGATGCAACAAAAACCCGGTTCCGCTGGAGTGCTCTTGTGATTCTTCGAGTTATCACAATATTTTTTCGAGATCAAGTAGAGCGACAAAGCTAGGCTTTTAAAACAGGGGGGGGGGGGATAGGGACAGCCGAGGACATTGTTTGCCCCAGGAAACGAAGCGCTACCCGCCAACCCTTCCGCTGCTGCTTCAATATTCACCCGAACAAGCACACGGCCGAACAATACCCTCTGATTAAGAGACCCGCTCGTGCAAGCGAATTCGTGCTACATCGGCTATACTTGACTTCATAAATCACCGCTCTTCTCGCAATTGCTTCAAGACGTTGACATTTATAATCTTTCATATAGTATTGTTATAGGAACATGCGATCCTCGATCATCTCCGTTCCGTTAATCAAAACACACGCGGCAAAAAGAGTTACGATATGGGATTTTAATTGCTCGGAAGCGGGATAAGACGCTAACTCTCCCACCCTGTGTTGGGGATGAACGCGGATAACAGTGGATGAAACACAATTCCAGGCGCAGGAAAATCTCACCCTGTCACGTACATAAGCCACCGATTACGGCCGACGGACGCAATTAATTCACGTATGTCTGATCTCCGTGGAAACACCACGTAATTGTGGAGTATCGTCCGCGGATTTAACTGATGTACGTAGGCTTTAATAATGGTGCATTATTGATCAGACTGAACCCCGTTCAAATTCCGTCGCTCCCCTCGTTCCATGGGGAGCGCCGGGAGATGCGAGATGGGGTGTCGCTGGTCAGAGACGACGACTGGTATTACATCGCGCACTTGGAACCACTCGAAATACTGCCGTACTTTCTCGATAATTATCGGGATTTTCTGTGTTCCCGACTGTGCGAGAGCACAGCTGGATAATCGGGCCGGTGCCCTAAAGGCGCAGCGATTAATGCGGTAGCGTACGCGGTGATGTGTAAGCGCGAGCTATAACGTATATGAGCGCAAAAATTTTTAAGGCTCTCACCAAGGCTGTATCGCCAGAGATCTTTGAGAGGTAGGTTTCCATTTCGACCACCGAGAAGATATACGTGACCGGCAAGTAAGGTGGCACTGTGCTTGCTCCTCGAAGGTGGTGCTGGTCCATTTTCAGTGCCGGCCGCAGTAACCGAGCTCCACATTTTCTTCCTGAAACAAAATACGGTGGAGATCATTTTATCGGATCCACTGTCTTCTCGTATCAACGGAAGATCGCTGTCGAAGGAAAGTTTATTACAGTAGTCAGCTTTATTAAAACATTGGTAACGCGCCTTGGCCTTATCTAAAGCCAATTACGAACTTGAGAGATTAAACGGTATCCTAATAGATATAGATAGTCTTGTAATGGCATTGGTTTCCCCTGGTCCTTCGTGATATCTTATTCTCCCGCTTTCCGAATGTTTCCTCCGTCTACAGAATTACGACCGAAAGAAGGAAGTCGCTCTCTCGGAAGCTGCAGGGGACACAAGATACATCTGTTCGATTCTTTATCAGTCTTGTATTTTCGTACATACGATATCTCCTGTTAGACATTAACGTACTTAAGGAAGAAGTAAATTGATTACTATTTGTTTTTATCTTCGCGATGAGTGTATTTCTTCTATAGTTAATTCAACATTCGATTAGGAATTGATATTTACGACTTTTTTCATAAAAAAGTTTTAAGTATAAATGCAATTTTAGATAATCTAGAAGACACGAGCTTTCGCAGAGGGTGCATAATTTAAACATCTACCGAGTCGAAATAATTAATCAAATAATTAATCGGATCTATCCAGAAATTTCATTGACAATCGTCATTCAATAGCCGATTTGATTGGATTTTATAGGCGGCAATTTCTAGGAAAATTTTCTAGGAAAGGAAATAAAGTATTGATTGGATTTCAAGGAGAACTGACGTCAGGTGCAGCGATTTTTAGATGGTTCCCCAAAACGAGGGGTTGCCGCTGACCACCATTGGCCGACTCGTATTCCCTCGGTGCTGTTGCATTAGTAACACACCTCGCACATCTGTTTCAAGATAATCTATTTCCGCGTCCCTAGTTTCTTCACTTGATTTATCAACAACCTTCTCGAAAGGAGGCTTCAAGGAACTCTCGACGGGATTTTTAGCACATTTAAGAAAAAGGAAATGCCCGCTATTTATATACGTATATAATATTATATTCTACGTATATACCTCCCAATAAAATCAATTAAACATAAGTGCTACGCTCTTTCCCAAGTGCACGTATCTCAGTGTCTAACGATCGGTCCATTGCGCGCGAACCTATAAAATCCAATTACTCGAAGAAGCCGAGCTCGGCCTTCGACATTGGCCTTATGAATTTCCACCCGCGCCCATATCCGGCGCCGGCACTCGAAATTCAATTACAGCTGTGAAATCGAGTTTCGAGTAAACGAATGCACCCTCACGCACGTGCCCCGAACACGCGTACGCAAATACATGTCTCTCGCGAGGTAGTACGTTTCGTGCAGTAGAACGCTACGGTATAACAATTGTCAATCTTTCACCAATTATTTGCATCTTACAAGCGAATTGCCACTTGCCAGAGAATCGAAGAACAATTGGCAGGGTAAGAATAAATTTTTAAATTTCATTTTACAACGAGTATTTTCAACTGATCATACTGTTGTCATTAACATTATCTCTCTTGATTTAAAAGTAAAGTGTAGCGAATTTTTCCTCTTTCTAGAATAGTCAAAGACATAAAGAAAGACAAATTTCTTTAAAATATCTCTAAAATAACAGGAAATTTAATTCCTTTAGTTCGATATCGTTACAATCGTTACTGTCAAAAGTACTTCCTTCATCGAAGTGTGATAAGATGTGAAGCGACTCGGATTATTTTCAGTTTCTATCGATATCGTATGGATTTATTTTTATCTCGTATTTCTCACAGATCGGTGGATAAGACGTGCTATTTCCTCTTTGTAGTTTCCCGTCGTAAGATCTCGGATATGGAACGTATACGCGCGAAGCGCGCGATCGCTATAGGTAAGAATTTTACAGCCGCTGCACACACATGTCTGAACTATATCGACGGATTCCATCGGCTTCCGGGAGAGAGAATGCCGAGCGATAATGTCCCGTCCGCAGATTTCAGGATACGAGCCGCGTATCGTGCCTTCGCAATCCCCCCCTCGGTACGAACGTTCGACCAAAAAGCTGGGATTAAACGTGCGTCATGGCAATTTTTCAACGATTTCACGGGCTCGACTTCGGGATTTACGGTACGCAAAACACTCCAAGATCTTCTCCCCCTCGGAAAAATTCAGCCGGGAATGTCCAAATGTCAAAATCTCAGCCTCGAATGCCCATCGATCTTGCATAACGTGAGATTCTCGAATCGTAAATACCTTTATAAATATAGTTGTGTTCAAATTGGCGCATCAATTAGAAATCGATTGTTTTGAAAAGTTTATCTTTAACATTTAAATAAAAATGAACGGAGTTAATTTTTAGATCCAGGCAATTAAATATGAATTAAGAAAGGAGTGGCATAAAGGCCACAGTTTTTAATCCGCTCCAGAATTGTTTCTAAATGCAGCTATCTGACCTCCATCGCGCATTAAATGAGATGTTAAACGAGATATATATACGAGACAAATTAAAAATGATTAAAAGTCTGCAAATAATTATTTAATATATTCTAATCTCAAAAGTAGCGAAACATTAATGCAGAAGTCCAAGTGCTCTACTATAACATAGAATATATAAAGATATATATATATAGTCGACATATTACAATATATTTTGAGACAGTATCTTGAAAGCCCAGTAAACACGTAATATCGGGAAATATCGACAATTGTCGTGGATGGTACGCGTCCCTCGTCACAGGAGACGTGCCAAGCCGCCACCATACAATCGAGAATACCCTATCATCCTTGACGAAGGAACAACGCCGCAGCTGCGAAGAGAACAGCTCGTGATTCGAGAATCACGCGCGGATAGCGACGGCATGGAAGAACTTGCGCGACTTGCTCCCTTTTCTATGGCGTTACCCTCGTGAGATTTAAGTTAAGGAGCTGGCAGAGGGAGAGTTGGGGAGATCAAAATCTAAGCCGAGCCTTTGCACATTGGATGTCGTGAAGATGAAATCGGCAGCTGGTCGATATACCGCATTTTTTTTTTATTCGAAAGAGAGATGAGAAGAACGTTCTCGTCTGCCGTGTAATATTTAAATTTCAATTTAACGGAGAGTCGATCATAAAATGAAAGGAAAATTTATACAATAATGGTATAAAATATATATTGCATTGTATATTATACATTAATACATGAAAGATATTGTATATTTTAATAATATTTCGTATGATAAAATATAGTCAGAGACAGAGAGAGAAGAGTCTAAGGAGAGAAATTATACAGATAAATATCATGGATGGAGAGCAATTAATTTAAACTCAATTAGTTGAAACTCGTGTCTTCTAATATTATACTACTCCATTACCGATAGTTCTCCGCGGCATCGAATTTACTTTGGGAATATTTACATAAACGTTCTCCTTTAAACAATTTGGCAGGGCGGACGCCCCTGCGTTACAGGCAACCCACGAAGGACCGCGGGTAAAAGAAGCGCGATTCTTGTGCAAACACTGCGGTAGTTCTCATTACCGATCCCTTTGTGCCGGAAAGAACATTCTCTAATCCGCTGCATATCTTAAGGGACGCTCATCCGTTAGTGCTTTATTTAAATTTCAAGTAGCGAACGCGCGGGCTATGCAGAAATTGCAAAGTCAACTGTTATATACGAAACGGTTTCGATATAATCATCAATATGAAAATGAAATGACCACACACGTTCGTCAGCGTGTTTTCTACTTTATATTTACCAAGACAAAAATTTTTCTTAGCAAAATATTATGCTCCTCTCTCTACAAGGAGAGAGAAGGATTATGAATTCCCTATTTATTTCATTTATTACTGTAAGCTAAGTCGCAAGTGAAGTTGCTTAAGCTGCGTAACGTCGGAACGGATGTGGAACGTACAGTTTACACAGAAGTAGATGAAGAACATTGATTTTCTACGAGGTTAAGGACACGATAAATTGCAGGCACCTACTATAGCCACGTGACTTTTATCCCTCCGACGAAAATTTGTAACTGCCTACGACGGTTTTTCCTTTATTGTTCTTTATTGCTACAATTCAATCTACGTTTCTCAATGTTTGATAAAGAAAAAATACATGTTTCCTCGAAGAAAATAATTATTTAAAACAAATTGTGACCAGTGTTACCAATCATTTCAACTACAATCAATTGGATTACATTTCCTTCGGCCAATAAATTTTTTCGAAGGTCTCTTTTTTGTTTAGAGTAGATTTGGTGCGTTTAAACTGACGAATTTCTTTGAATTCTGACAAATGTAATTATTCTATATAATTTTTTTTTTATTGAATTAACTCTGAAATTCTGGAAAGTTATAATCTGATCAGCTTTGTTTTACATTGACAGGACTAATCAATTCGCTGATGAAATTTTCTCTTTTATATACGCTAATCCGAATCCACCTTGCACTTCGAATTGCTTTTGCATCAGTAACGTTTTTCCATCAGTAACACCAGTTAATAGGCTTACCTCTTAGCTCGGCGAACCTTCTATCTCATTAGCTGGAACGAATGCAACTCGTGACCCACATGCAATCGGCGATTTAAAAACTCCCAAACACAGTGCACTACGCGAAAGACAGATGTGCTCTCTCTCTCTCTTTCTCTTCAAACATGCATCTGTCGTAATCTTTCTCGGCGCCAGCTGCACCGAAAATAACACGACACACGCAGAACGAACATACGCGCGAATGGACAGAAATAAGCGAGGATGGTCTTCTAGAAAATAAGGGAGGCATAGAACAACAGTTCCTCTTATCGAATATCACGGTATAATAATAATATTAATACATATATCTCTCGCATGAAGACTCGGCGCTGATTCGATACGCGTGGAATCCGGCCAGAATCCGGCGCGTAATCAGTCGACGCGCATCATCACCCTCCGCAGCGGCGGCCGTGCGCGGTTTCGGCACACACTCTCTCAAGTACACTCTCGACCGAGTCGCATCAACCGCAGCAGCACCCACGCAGATCTCACGAAAGGGTTCAACGAACTTAACGCGCGCCGTGTATTATCGAACGTCAGTTTTTTTTTCGCGCTATTATATCCGCTGCGCCCGAGCCTCGCGCGTCACCGTCGTTCAAAGTCTCACCTCGGGCGATCACCGCGCACCTTCACCTTCGCCCCATGACCGGAGCACCACGCCACGTTCGCGGCTCGCTAGCCCCACGTTCGCGCCGCGCGATCTCTCTCACACGATCGCCGAAACTCGACGGGGAAAAAGCCCACGTTACGCGGGAACGGCGGGCTGCCTGCCGCTTGTTTTCTCCCAACTGCGTCCGGGTCGAGCACCTACCTAGCCGAGTCGTCATTGGGGACTCGACGCAGGCGCGCCGCAACGAAACAACCCTCTTCCCCTCCGTCGCAGCGACTCCACGTACTCACGACGACTCCGTCGGAAGGGTGGCCGAGCCGGAACGGAGGGAGGGGAAGTTGGTTGAACGCACATCCGTCGGATGGACGCCACGACTGAACCCCCCCGAATGACGGCGACAGAGGGACCAGGATGACCGTCGTCGGGGGAACAATCGGTTTGGTTGATCGTGCTTCAGACGCCGATCGTTCTCGAAGCAGCTATACAGATATCGCAGCGGCTCTGAATACTCTTCCTAGATAATACTCTTTCATATCCGTGTCCATCAGAAGAGTCCATCAATTCCATTCGTGGAGGAAATTGTTAAATATGAAATTGCATTTTGTTTCTCTTTAATATATTTTATTGTTGCATAGAAGTAAAATTATTGTAATTATTATTGTATTATAGCGTCCGTGTACCGCTCTATATTATATTAATTCTATAACTTCTTTGACATATATGCAATATATTCAGTAAAATGCTTCATCAAATAGTGAAATCAAGAGAAATATTAAAATAAATTTAGGAGCAGGATTGCGATATATAAAAATATATCTTGAGGTCTGGCACCATCGTAGATCATCTTAGAGATGTGATATAATTTGTCTCATGATTTTGCCGATTACTGTCGCTGATCGGCAACGGGGTGGCCTCCCACGCAAGGAATGGTTGGCGCGAGACTGATTCGGACCTCCAGACGATCTCGTTGGTACAGCGGCATCGCTGGACCGACGCATGCGTAGGCGTCAGTTCCCATGGAAACCGGGGAACGCGAGGCACCGCGTGTGAATGCGTATTGATTATTTTGCTCTCGCTCCGTTCCGCGATCTCCCGTATCTTCTCCGGACCACCCCGGCTTCCATTCTTCTCTCTCTTTCTGCATCCCGTTCTCGCTCTCGGGAGTATCCTCGGTCTAACGCGAGAGTGGCGGCCACCTCCCGCCCCTCTTTTCTTCAAATTAGGCCCCTAATGTCCCGTCCCCAGCATCCACGGATTAAAATCGGGTTCTCTCTTTCATTGCAGCTCACCGGCCCTCGCGGGGGTCGTCGGTTTTGCTTAAATTAATGCCCGCGTCTCTCGTTCCGCTCTCTGCGGTTGATCGAATACGCGGCACTCGACGCAATCGCCGACGTACACGCGACGCTTTTCCTTCATGCTCGAACGCTCGCGTATAGAGGGTCGCGAGAAAACACCTCTGTTTCTGTTTCAAATTTCGGACGATTCGAATAATGATTAAAGTTTAGGATTAACTAATTAATCAACAAAAAGGTAATTGATTAGCAATAATCAACTTGGCTACCTGTCGTAGCGATAATTACAAATGTTGAGAAGGTAACGAAGGAATAACAACCTCGATTATTATCGTCGTTTTTACAAGGACATCTCCGACATTCTAACCCGAGGTTCTTTTCTCGTTGTTACGAATTTCGTAGCACGGTACAAGGACTGAAACAACGTGGGTACTCGCATAATTTCGGTCGTTGGTCACACTAGCGGCTAACACGGCGGAACAAATTGTCCTGTTCACATTTCGTAACGACGGAATTAAAGAAACGAAACAAAGGGAAATTGAAAATTCGTCAATTCAAGTATTTCGAATCTAGCTATATGTATCAGTTCGTTTTTTTATTTATTTATTCTCGCGTTTATTTCTCGTAGACCAAATTTCTTGCACAGATCGTCTCAATTCTCCCTTTTACCTTCTTCTCTCGCAAAGTATATCAAGGATTAAAAGAAACTGAGATTACGTATTAAATTTTCACCGATAGAGAAAGAGAGAAGTGGACTTTCGTGATGCGGAAAGGGCGAGAACCGTAGCGAACATAAAGGGAAAGTGAAAAAAAGGAAAGAATGATTATTCGAATCTTACGGCATATTTCCGCGAAAATAGAATTAATTGGGCGTTAATTGTAGGAGAGAAAGTTGACCGGATTGGATGAGTTTCTTAAAGGGTCAAATCAAAACGTAAGGTGTTAACCCACGGCACGAAGTCGATGAGACCTGATTGGCGTAATCCCGCCTCGCGGACCTGCCGAATTTCGCAAGCACAAATGACGAAAACAATAACGATGGGAAATCTTAATTAATGGTGCTGGCGTGACGATTGTTGACTCACTCGCGACACTTTTATTTTCGCTAGCGCTCCTCTGCCGTGCTTGACGTTTGGTCACACTTCGTAACTTCAGGGACGCAGCGCTAGTGCAGTATGATCCCAATAAATAGTGTGGTATTATTCTACATAATAATTATATGGTCTGCAATCGTTTATGGAACATTTTTGTGTGTGCAATAAGAATAAGAGTAGAAAATTATCAAATCGTCAAGTCACAGAATAAATATCCTATTATTATATTTAATTTTCACATTTCTATATAATCGCTGCATGTGTAACAAACTATATAATTATTATAATCTATTCGTGATTGTGAGCAGCTATCGTTATATTATTATACTTGTTTTTAGACAACTTACTTCAATGAATTTTAATGATCGCTTTACTATTATTAATATCACTATATTTATTGCCCATCGTTTCAGATAACTGTAGCTACTTGAAAAATTTACATTTACAAGTCGATCTAGAAGTTAAATATATTAAATAATTAAAAAGCGTATGCATATATTTGTACAAATAAAATTTGCTAAAGTATTAAGCGTTTGTAGAACATTTTTTGAGTAAAACCTTCTGTTACTTAAAAAAAGATACAAAAAATACAGGAAAAATATAGAGAGAGTAACTTCTGCTTTCCGACTTCCTGTATTTTTACAGATTTTACGGCAGGAAAGTTCTAGATTCGTCCCTGTGGGGTGAATACGCGACAGCATCCCATGCATGACTGCTATATAAATAGGTGAAACTTGAGAAATTAGAGAGCCACTTTTGTGTCGTCCTTAGCGTTAGAACGAACGCTCGTTCGAAACTTCTTGCAACGTCGGAACTACTTGTATAGTACTCGATACTCGATATCCGGAACGTTTCGCGCTCTCGAGCAGCAAGTGGAATACTCGTGACGATGACGCACGTTCTAATTCTCTCTGTCATCTTCGGCGCTTGTTGCGCGCTAGCGGAGAAAAGTGAATACACGACGACGACGACCGAAAATCCGAAGAGACTGTCCGATTCGCAAGATCGATTCCTGCTGAACGTCATTCACGGTAAAAACTCGTCGGAGATTGCTCTCGATAGCGCCGACGACGAAGAAACAAAGAAAACGGACAAGAAACCGAGAACCGTCTTACATCGCGACACGAGTCTTGAAAGAGATAAGTTTCAATACTTTCGATCTAATCTCGCAGTTTTTTCTTTCTTAAACGTTATAATTAAAAATCTAAAACGCGATAGAGAAATTAATGACTCGCTCGTTAATTAACAATTCAGATTATTCGGAATATTTTTATTTGCAAGTTCCAACTGCTGCGGCTCTAAATACGGTTCCAATGGATCGACACGACCGGATTATAATTACAAGATCTCTTTAGAGGCCGGACGGTATCCCTCCCAATATGGCGATCAGCGACACCACATTGACAGGTAGTGATAAATGCTACCTTTTGAAAGGCCGTATGAAAAAAAATTTTAGAGTGCAACGTTTCCGTTTAGATACGGATGGCAAACACAAGGTCGGCCCCCAGGTTCCATCGGAAGCGGCGGCAGGCCCGGTGGAGGAAGCGGAAGCGGAGTCTACGCAGGAAGCCAGCTGGGAGACAGGTAAATTTACCCAACTTCCCGCGACCATAAATTTTCCGCTAATCTCCATCGGACCGTCTGTATTAACTCGGTGAGGACTAGAAAGAGAGAGGAAGGGGAGAGAGACAGAGAGAGGTTTTCCTTTGCGGAATTAAAAGATTTAGTTTTTGTGCAAAAAAAGTTATGAAAGTTTAAAGAAATTTAAAAAAATTCGTGAGAAAAGGAGGATACGTGCTACTCCGACGTTAAACATTATAATTGCATTTTATATTATTAATTTTGTTGAAAACGAAAGGTATAATGGACCGCGTCCAGTGCACGCAAGTGAAACTTCTAATAGACCCAGCGCTTTGGGATACGGCTCGGGAAACGGTGGAGGATACGGTTATGGCGTTAGCGGTTATGGGAATTACGGAAGACCGAGTGGACATGGGGGTTCGATCGGCGGCTACGGGATTTCGGGAACATTGGCCGACGGTGACGAGTTCGGCCCCGGCGATCCGGGAACTTATCCGGATGCAAGCGTGCCGCAAGGAAATATTCACGCGCAAAAGGTGTATATATTCAGGGGAAATTGATATTTTTTACGCAGAAATGAAAATCGATTGGAGAAATGAATAAAGAATTATAATTATATTTATTCGTTAAGGCGATAGCGTTAAAGGCTCTAGCGGGTGTTGCGCTGATCGGAGCAGCAGCGGCGTTAGCTTCGAACCCGGTTCTTCTGCCAATCGGCATTGTGTCCGGTAGGAAGAAAAGATCGGAGACCTTCCCCGAGGAAGAGCAGACCGACTTCCAAATGGATTACATTTTGTACATGTTGAAGGAAAATTTAGCTAAGGTTCGTAACGGCAAGAAACTTTCTCCGCGTAGAAACGTTACTCTTGATGAACAAGATTTTTGATAATATCTCAGCAATATTTTTTTTAAGAATTTTTCATATTTTGAATTTATGAAAATTTATTTTAAAAAATATTAAGTTTTAAACTTCTTTAGATTCTGTAAATTTTCTTCGGAAATTATATTGTAGAACGAGAAATCTTAAAAAAGATATAAACTCTCATTTTTTAAAAGTGTTCCTATTCTGCATGTAAAAAAAATCTGAGAAGTTTTCTGAAAAATTATAAAATCATATAGAAATTGTGAAATTTGTACACAAATTCTCTGAAATATTACACTGAAATAATTTCAGCAAAAATTTCACCGAGTAATTAGCTATTTTCTTTTTTTTTTTTTTTAATGGGTATAGATACGAAAAGATGGCTCAAGCGACAGACTAATCGTCTCTCCAAGATGCGTCGCCAGATTGACTTGTGAAATCCAAAAGGACTATCTGTCCGATCTCGGAAAGGACGTCGAGGTCGTGACCACAAGTCGAAAATATCACCTTACCGATTTGTACGTAGACTTCTCAGTATCTAAATAATTCGAGATGCCAAACATCTAATTGACTAACTCGAATTCTTGCAGAATACGAGACAACGTGCTTAATACCAAAACGGTGAGCGCAAACGTGAAGGACCTGATCAAGTTGGCGGTCGGCGTGGCGTCGGGAAACGAGAGCTGCGACTTGTTTACCTGTAATTATATAAGGAAAGCTTGAATAAGACTTGTTGTAATCACACGATTATTATCACTCATCCGACTGTTTGACAAAGGAGGATGCATACACGCACGCAAAAAAAAAATAATGAAATAAAATCTCTTCGTACGATCGTAGTGTCGCAATTTAAGAACCTGAGAGAGAGAGAGAAAGAGAGAGAGCGCTTCATTCAAACTTCCCTCCAGACTTTACCGACCTGCACGCAAGGTGGTGGCGAGGTGGCGCTTCGATACGCGCCATCTGGCCTTCTGGCAACCTCCGCGAGTAATCGTACACGCACGTGTCGTGACGTTGCACGGGAAAAAAAACACAAGTTACAACTGACGTGTCCTAATAAGAGACAACGTGGCAACGCGACAGTGTTTAGAGTCCCCCCCCCGTCCTCGTGCCGTTCTCACTTCGCTTCCCCGCACATTTTCTCGTCTCGTCGCGATGTAAGGAGAAGAAAGGTGGAGGATCGGAATTTAACATTGCGAACTGTCATTTCCACATTTCGTTCTCCCCTTCGTTAATCTCGGTAACTCCGCGGGCGAAAGGTTATGGGATCCGCGATGATCGCGTCGTCAACGTCGGCCAGCGTGAGTGCCGATTAAAAAAAACGTTCGCCCGTTCGCCGCCGAACGAATTGTCATCGTCGTCGACGCGTCCCGACGTCGCGGCGCCCGTCCATTCGTCCGCGATATGCGGTGACGAGCGGAGAGCCTAACCTTAATACGGCGATAACCTTGAAAAAATCATCCAGCGGTCCCCCGCGAACGTGGCACGAGAGCGTGAACATTCGCTGGCTCGCTCGTCGTATGGATGTCAATATGAGGAGGAAACTGGAAAAGGAAGACCGCTCGGCGGAGGATGGCGCCGTCGACTCGAGCAGCGTCCAGGAGCCCTCTGATCTGCGCGGGGACGAGAAGAACATCGCGATCCTGTTCTTCCTCTACCTGCTGCAGGGTATCCCGTTGGGATTGTGCGGCTCGATCCCCATGCTCTTGCAGAACAGAAGGGTTTCCTATCGGCAACAGGTACGTGAAAGCTTTCCTCCACGACGCACGGTTATCCTGCGAATAAGAGTAAGTCAAGGACAATATGGGAGCGATAAAAGATAGGAAATATCATTTCCTCGGTATTTGTTGACGAGGTACACAACTCTATTTACGATGTGCAACATTTACATCAATATAGAGTGATATAGAGTGTAAGTCTGATCTAAGTCTGATCTAAGAACAGTTTTAAGATTTCCATTAAGCCAATGAAATGATTTAGCGTCTCGAGATGGTGATATTGAATATAAGACTATAAATATTGACTTTGTTTTATCAAATAGAATTGATTTATATTCGAATTATATTCGAAAATTATTAGATTGTTTTATAACAGTCATGAAGAGCTTAAACAGAAAGTAATGAAACTACTTTTACGTTGTTGACACAGGCAGAATTTAGTTTCGTACAATGGCCGTTCTCGTTGAAGCTCTTCTGGGCGCCCTTAGTAGATTCCATTTTTTTGCAACAATTTGGAAGGAGAAAAACTTGGTTGATTCCCACCCAGTACTTGATGGGTATGTTTATGCTCCTTCTGTCGAATTACGTGGATCCCTGGTTGGGTAAGGAGCATGAGAAGCCCAATATCGAAATGTTGACCGCATTGTTCTTCTTCTTGAACGTACTCGCCGCGACTCAGGACATCGTAGTAGATGGCTGGGCGCTTACAATGCTTAAGAGGTACTTTCCTGAAATATTCAAATCTTGTGTACGTGCGTCAGCGATATTTTCACGAGGCCTGCTTAATTATGATTTGTTTTGTTAAGGTGCAACGTTGGATATGCGTCTACCTGCAACAGCGTCGGCCAAACGGCGGGCTACTTCATTGGCTATGTCTTATTTATTTCGTTGGAGTCCGCTGAATTTTGTAATAGTTACTTAAGGTCTACTCCTTCTGATGAGGGCATATTAACTCTGCCTGGTAAGAAGAGCCTAGCAGTCAAAAAGATTATCATTACACGTTTTATATATATATATATATATATATATATATATATATATATAAATAACGTGTAATGTAAATATATATGTAAATATTTATATATATATATTTGGATTGTAATGAGCATATTTTATTATTTTTTAGGATTTTTATACTTCTGGGGCTGGACGTTTATTGTCACGACAACGTTTATTGCATTGTTCAAGCACGAAGATAAAGGCAGAATTTCCAGAGGCGAAGAATTAAATATGGATATTAAGCACGCATACAAACTGCTGTGGGACATAGTTAAATTACCGGCTATAAAGACCACGATTATATTTCTCTTAACTGCAAAGGTTAAATACTAATTTACAATTATAATTTGTAACACAAATTTCATTATATTTCACTTAATCGTTTTATTTCTGCAGATCGGATTTTCAGCCTGTGATGCTGTGACCAGCTTAAAGCTTATAGAAGCCGGTTTTCCCAAAGAGAAATTTGCTTTCATGGCCGTGCCCATGATACCGTTGCAAATAATTTTGCCACTAATAATCTCGAAATATACCGCTGGGCCCAGACCTATGGATGTTTACATGAAAGCTATGCCTTACAGGTAATTAATATGATTTATGAATGACAATGAAATTTATACAGATTTTAGTTTGGCTGACACTTTTAAATTTGTATGATGCAGGCTGGCTTTCGGCTTAATAGCGGCGCTTTTGGTGTGGTTTACACCGCTCGTTGTAATGAATGGACATGTTCCAGCCTATTATTTTGTGGTATTGATAGGCCTCTACTTTATACACCAGGTAAATATTATACAAAGTACAGATCTATTCAATCAATGTCCAATTTGGATTCAGTAATTATATCGAGGAGGACTATAATGTTCCTTTTTTTCTTCACTTTAGATTTCCGCGAGTAGTATGTTCGTGGCGTCAATGGCTTTCTTCGCGAAGGTAAGCGATCCGGCAGTTGGTGGTACTTACATGACTCTACTGAATACTTTGTGCAATCTTGGTGGAAATTGGCCTGCCACGGCCGCGCTCTGGTTTGTCGATCCATTAACATTTAGAAAATGCAGTACCGATTATGCAAATGACTGTAGCACAATTACGGAGAGAGAGGTTGGTTGCGACAACTTTTTTTTTTTAATTCTATTCTGCCGTATATTAAAGAGATCACCGACATAAAAATTGTCCATTGTCTTTTCAGCTCTGCGCTAATACCAACAATGGTACTTGTACTATGCAGCTCGACGGTTATTACATAGAGAGCATCCTCTGCCTAATCATAGGTTTCTCCTGGCTCAGGTGGGGTCGTAGAAAAATTAATATATTACAGGCGAAACCGATGTCCGCTTGGAAAATCATACTTACCCGTAACAACAGGTAACATATCAGCACAGTGTTATAAATCCGTTAACACTGGTACCTGTAAAACTGCTAGGAAATTCTCTTCGACGTGTCGTTACATATACGGTGTATCCATACTGTAGTTCCTCTGTAGGTCAGATCCAATTACTAGCGTAATTTATCATTTATCCGTAACAATTAGTCGTTACAGTTTACCCTGGTGCTATATATCGAGAACGTTCACATTGAGGTGTGTTAAATTAATAAGTCCAATTTGTTTAACAATCGCGTTGATGTAGATTCCCATAGGAACTATATGGACACACTTTATATTTACCCATATGTGGGGCATGTGTGCATGCGTTATTTTCCTGTACGTTTACCAAGTGTTCCAGTTTAGAGAGTGGGCGCGCGAGGTGAATCGATAACGATCCATTCGCCTCGGGAAGCAATATCTATTATAGATATATATATATAGTACAGGTCCCACACACGAAGAGAAAACCATAATGCGATATCATATAATTTCAAATAACATGAATAACATTCCGTGCATAATTGAAAGGATCTCCAACGGTTGTCATCCTGATTTCTTTAATTCGAGTTCTGATCGAAATATGATTTAGTGATACTTGAAGTATTTAAAAATTATATAGTATATATATCTATATATTTGACATTAGTTATTAATATGTTATTAAAATATTTATTATATATACATACAGGGTGTTTGGAAAGTGCCGGGATTCCTTAATATTTCGGAAACTAAGCGTTTTTGAAAAAAATATTTTAGACAAAAGTTGTAGGGCTTAAAAGAATCTATTTAATGATCTTATCCATTTGACCTTGAGTGACGTCACCAAAGTTAGGTAAAGGTTACATTAATTTTTTTAAATGAAACGCCCTATTTTTTATTCCACAATCTAATAGCTGGTGTCAAGAGCTTTCCAAAGCACTATAATAAAGTATTTTTTGGTTAAGTAAATCTCGAGTCCCTGAACAACATTCAAAAAATTTTAGCCATTATTCGGACACTTTGAAAAGTCAAACGGATAAAATCATTAAATACATTCTTTTAAGCCCTACAATTTTTGTCTAAAACATTTTTCTCAAAACACGTTTAGTTTCCGAAATATTAAGGGGTCCCGGCACTTTTCAAACACCCTGTATAAGGAAATATGTATGGTGATACGTACTTATTTTCCGTATATATATATGTTATATATGCGTATATACATATATATTTGTTATATATACATATTTATTTGTAACAATCAATGAGTCAAATGTTTTCCGAAATAATTACATCACAAGCGGAATATATTATTTTTTTACAAGATGTTATTAATGTGTGTCATTTAGATGAAATTTGTATGCGCGCAATTTGTAAACTCTGCAATTTGTTATCTCTCTGCGAGCAGCGTATTGTTTCAAAATAATAATATTTTGCACGGAATACTTACAGATATTTCATAGAAGTTTTGTAAAAACAGATGAAGAACATGTGTGTGACGAGCGTGTTCGCAGTTTCTACTGTAAATATATTTAAAAATATTTTACGCATAACGAACGCATGACAAAGCATTTAACGCAGGATGTTAATAAAAGTTTTTCATATAAAAGGTTGGAGCTGATGTATATATATGTTTTATTTGAACTCTCTTATACCCTCCTAACGGCAATATAGAGAAAATAAACGCAGTCACAGCCATGAAAATGAATTATCAGGTATGAATACGAGTTTAATCAGGTATATAGTCGTATCATTATATATAGATATATCTCTGTAGGTAGACGTCATTCGCGTGGATACTATAACGGTTAATGTGTTGCATAAGGACAATATCGTGCACTATTATAACGAGAATCAATTGTACGAACGTTGTTACATTTGTATCATCGTGAGGAATGTAGATTTTCGATCGCACGGATTACTTTACATCTACATGCAGGAGTTTGTCAAGTCAAGTTTCAGTAATTGAAGACAGAGATGAGGAGAATTATTCGCTAAGAAATTTTTTTATAAATAAACAATTGGACTTTCAATCGTTCATTTGATCAATGTTCGAGATCATTCCGTACAAGAAACGGTCCGAATGTGTTTTATATAATTGCAATAGTAATCATCAGTTGCGGAATATACATCGTCTGTCTGCTTTGAAGACTTTGCATTGCTCATCTATATTTATCATTTGTTTTTACATCAAAAGAATATAAACGACTCTTAATAAATAAATTCAACTTGCATACTGAACTATACGTTTAAGCATGCCCTTTGTCTTTTATAGCATCTTAACGATATCTCTATCGTTAACACATCGATATTACGTATATTGTTATATAGATACTTTCCACGTAACATCATGCAATTATACTTTACGCACAGTATGTGTGCGTACACAATGCACACAAATTATTAGATTAATAAAGGCAATTATAGATAATTATAGATAAGTAAATGATAATACATTATTTAAATAGCATCTATTACAGAATAAATCTTTCGCGAAACGTGTTACGCTCTAATTATTCTTTACGGCATTATTATTAATTCTGTTAATTAACTGACTAGTGAATCAAGAAAACAAGTAGTATACACATTTTTTAACGTGTAATATAAATAATTTTAATCTAAACATTGAGAAATTCATAAATTTCTTTTTTATTTTTAGATTAAATCGCGCAAATGTAAATTTATGCCAAATGAGAGTATAAACTGTTGCTTATTGAATTTGAATATAATTGGATAACGTGAGAAAACTTGATTATTCTTGTCATGACGGAAGAAATAATTTTTATCTATATCCTTAATCGATACTTACGCTAAAATAAAGCTACACGTAATGAGAGAAATGACGAGTTTTCATCGATGTTTGTGCGTAAAATATATAACAGATGTACTGAAAGATAAGTTACATTTCTCTCCAAGTTCGTTAAGCATTAACAACACGAAACGTAATGTTTCGTATTAAACACATTGCTTAATTTTGCGACTTTAATAGCAATAATCATTTAAAAAAGAAAGAACGATAATACTTCGTTGATTCGTTAAGAAGTAAGAATATGAGCTTAAAATTATAGTAGGGATCGCTATCATATGATTAGTCGAACAAGAGCTAAGTACCAAAAATAGTTTTTCTGTACCAGACAAAAACTTTCTCAAGGAAACTTTAAAATGCACGAGCTAAAAAGCTCCTCTGAGGTCAATATTTACAAAATATATGCTCCATAAACTTTGAATTTCAAGCAACATATAAAGTGGAGCCGCCGAAGTGGAAAAATGTGGCCGGTAAACGAAAAATACAGAACAGATTTTCGATATATAAAAGAATAACACATTGTGGCATTGTAACCGGATGCATTAATTGTGCGTTAATAAAGAGCTGTTGAATATTAAAGGTATACTCCGATGCACCAGCAGCCTACGTTATAACTCGCATTGCGTTACAGTCTTACGTGTAATGTTTCGTTGTCGACAGCTTAAATAGTTATTTCAGTTTAAAAAATTCAAGCTACTTCCGCGGCTCCACTGGCGAACTGGATAAGGGAAACAATTGATAAAAATATATATGACTTATTTCTAGTCAACATCCTCGCTCAGAATAGGTGATTTGTCATTTTTCGGACTGACTCGTAACGTAGATCCCCATTTCGTGCCTTTCTCGGCTTCTGAGGTAGCCATTAGAACGGAGTATGAGTTTGGAGTAGCGGCGGCCTCTTTACTATAATGGATGCCGTATAGAAAGTAGATCATCATTCCTGAAAAAGAGTCAAAGAGAAATTTAAAAAATTGAGATTCATTAAAATTTATAATATATCTTATATATATTATTTTTACATTTATATTATATGTCTAATTTTTGCATTTTTAATTCACGTCTTATTCATATGAATAATATAGGATTGTAATTGACATACCGCCTGTCATCCATACGAAAAACCGTAGCCACGTCATTTGCGACAGATGCATTATCAGACCGATGTTGAAGAGAATACTTAACGCTGGTATCAAGGGCACCAGCGGCACTCGGAATTTTCCATTGGGTGGATTTTGCTTGTGGGCACCAATTACGAAAAGACCTGCGAGCAAACAACAAACAAATAAAATTGAGATATCACACAATATTTCATCCATCTATGCCAGAACCGAAAAGAAAAATTGAAAGATGAGCTTACACGCGATAGATAGCGGGAAATAGCTTGCTATAAACAAGTAGTCGCTCTTCATGAACGGGACTGTCGTATCGAGTGATATCATCATAAAAGTGCTGAGGAAGGTGCAGGTTGCCGTGTAGATAAGTAGACACATGGTTATGACAAATCGAATATCGTAATCCCCCAGTAAGTCCTCCAGCCAGGCGTATCGCGGCTTGAATCTGCCGGATCCTTCGCACAGCAACTATATACAAACGTTTTATATTAATAATCTGTTATCTAGAAGAGTTCTAAGAGTTGTCTGTGCGTATAATGTTATATTAGGGCGGGGTTTGTAGACGCTGACTTTGTAAAAATTTATATTTCCTAGAAACCAAATATTTTAAAGTTATATCATGCAAAATTAAGACGCCATAATTTTGAATAAAAGCACACTCGCGGCGCACTCACTTCGGATTTGACGGACGCGATGCTGCTGGAGTCCGCTTCCTCCGTGGGTGGCGAGGAGCAACCGCTGCTCGGCGTACCGGCGACGCTCGCTTGATGCTCGGACGGCTGATGCTCGGGCAGATACCGCAGCAGGATAACGCTAATCGCCACGATGGTGTACGCGAGCAGAGTCCCCATCGACATAAACTCCACCAGATGGTGGAGATCGAATAGTAGAGCGATTAAGGCACTGAACAGTCCACTTATGATCAGATTGCACACCGGCACTTGCGTGCGCTCGTTGATACGACCGAGGAAGCCGAATAACAGACCGTCGTTCGCCATGGAGTACATCGTCCTCGGGAGGGAGAACAGGGATCCGAAGAGAGTCGTCGTCATTCCGCAAAGGGCGCCCACGCTGCCAAAGCCAGTTTTCAATTGCACAGTGTGCATCTCAAGAAATTATGTTAAATCACGGAAATTAAAATTAAAATGAAATTGCCCACCTTATCACATATTTAGCCCACGGGATACCCCTGGACGAGAAGGCTTCCGGAAGAGCAGCGGTAGGGCTAATCTCCCAATACGGCACGACCAGGGTCAGGGCGCCGCTGACCAGCATGTATCCAACGGTCACTATCGCCATCGAGAGTATCGTCGCCAGCGGAATGCTCCGTCCCGGATCGCGAGCCTCCTCTCCGGAAGTCGCGATCGAATCGAAGCCGACGTAGGCGTAGAAACATGTTGCTGCACCTGAATAACGCGTCAAAAATTTAATATCTTCGTTTCAACCGGTGAGTACGCGTGTGCACAGAGTAATACTATATATAAACCATTTATCTTGTAGGTATAATTTCTAGTACAATATCATATAATTATCGGATTAAGCGTTTATCTCGCGTATGCTCCATGCGAAATCGCGAGATTAGCGAAATCACGAGTCTATCTATATTTTACGGCGCGTTTGTTTAGCCAGTCTATACTCGAGATAACTTACCAGCCATTACGCCGGCGAAACCATATGGCAGAAGACCACCGTTCTGACTGCTCCAGTTCGTAATGTCCGCGTAATAAATACCCAAAATGACGACCAGTCCCATCACCGCGAGGTTGATAATAGTCAGCAACGAGTTCACCGTCGCCGAGGTCTTCACACCTACTCCCAAAAGTAACGCGTAAGCCAGGCATAATCCGCTAGCCAGAAAATCCGGGACGGCGCCCAGCGGCTCTCCCATGGTCCATCCACCCATCATGTCGCGAGTATAATTGCCAATCGCACCGCCGACCAACGAATCCACATATCCGCTCCAAGCCCTCGCCACTGATGCTGCACCTAATTAGCACGATAAAAAGATCGCATTAATTAATCTGATTTTATTTTCGTCCTTGCCGCTAATTATACTGACGTTTGATTTGATATTTGACTATCCTGGGATGAAAAAAAATTCTTTTATTTCAATAATTAGAGAAACTCTTTTATTTCATATTTTTAAGAATTTTTCATATTAGAAATTTATAAATATTTCTATAAAAAAATATCTTAAATTTCTTCAGATTTTATAAGTTTTCTTTGGAAATTATAAAATGAAAAATTTTAGAATATTTCAGAATAAATATGATAGGTATACGTATAGAAATTCTGAAAAATTATATGAAGAATACCAGAAGAAAGTTTACTTAGAAAATTTTCAGAGGACGATTAATTTGATCTTCTTGCTCATTTTTATTAACTTCCTATCGATAAATGTTTCCGATTCTCTACAAGAAACAGGCTCGAGTACCGATCATGTGCTCCAAGATGAGGTTCCATCCTACGATGAAGGCCCAACATTCGCCGACGCAGACATAAGTGTAGACGTACGCGCTGCCCGCCTTCGGCACTCGGGCGGCCAGTTCGGCGTAGCAAAGCGCAGCCAGAACGGAAGCGAAACCAGCCACGAGGAAGCTAAAGATCACCCCGGGTCCAGCGATGTCGCGGGCGACCGTTCCCGTCAGCACGTAAACTCCAGCGCCGACCATATGACCCACGCCTGGAAATCCCGATTCGTTATACACGTGCACACCAGAGGTGCGGGGAACTGTGGTAATTAACATTTATTAACTTTCGAGCGAGTTACGTTATATAAATCTCGCCCCAAGCGTAATTCCCTTGTGAAGCTTAGCTTCATTATTATTTTTATTAATAGTCCGTACCGTTGTCTAACGCGACATATCTCACTCAAGGCTATTATTCCGGACTGTTACGCTTATCATCACCGCGATAATGCGCGCGTATAATGGCAAGCATGCATATCGCTCGCATACATCACGTATAAAGGCAGTTACACGTCAAAGTAAGACGCATCACATTTGTGAATATATTTTTCTCTCTCTTTTTTTTTGTTGTAATCCGTCACAAAGTTGATTCGTGCTATGAAAATATATATTCACCGAGCAACGTGATGTCGAAGGTGGAGAGACACCTCTTCAACGGGGTCTCGAGCAAGTCGCCCTCCAGCTTCTTCCGGCGGCACATCTTGTTGTACAAGCCGGACATAACGTGGTCCAGGATCATCTTGCGAACCGACGGCATGATAACGGATCCTGAAACAGATTTCAGTCCCCGGCTTACCGATGACACCCTGCTTGGTCGAAGAGAAAAAAAAAAGAGATCGTTCGATTGCGCTTTTTAAATAAAAAAAAAAACATTAGTCGAATGTACTTTGATTGTAGCGAGAGAACCGCGAAAGAGAGTTCGGTGAGATGCCTGGCGAATGTCCGTTAGGTAAAAATAAATAAAAATCGATAATATAAAAACCGTCATTTGGTGTTTCGGCACAATATGTCACGGCGATGACAGGTATAGGCAGCGTCGAACGTCGCGCACACATACGCACTTTCGCGGCGGGCGATCGATAAAAAAAAAAAGCGATCCCGGGGTGTCCTGAGGGGACGTCGAGATGCGGCGGTAATGTATTCGCGGCTTGGCGAAGAGTACTTACGTTGTAATTACACGGACATCCGACGACGAGACCGTCGACTACGTGCCGCTGCGGACCGTGCAACCGCGATAGACGACGCCGAGGGGGTCGTATGGCTCGCGATATAAAGGGATAAGGGATGTAATGCTCTTGTGCGAATGCCATGCGCAACGGACGGCCAATCGCGAGCCGGTCCCAGATGTTAAAAAGCAATAGCGCTGGGAGCATTAATAATACAGCTAAAGAACGGGAGATGATTAAATAATAGACGGGAATATTAAAATAATAATATCGCTTTTATAAATTTAATTTCCATGATTTTTGCTGACGCGATTTCAAAATTTATTCTAGATATATTTATTTTCAAATATTTCCTAATTCCCTATTTCTACGTCTTTTATTAAGTCTTGATTTGAATTTACGAGAAATTACACTTTGAAAATCGATAAAGTATTATATAAATATTATATATCGATCGGTAAAATGTAATCAGCAAAGAAAATAATATTAGGTGATATTAATTGAAATTCCAAGAATATTTAACATTTTTTTAAGTCTGGAAGTTTAAACCTTGAAGAATTAAACCCCCGATAATCTCAACAATTTAAAAAAAAATATACCTAACTGACTAAAGAGATGGCACTAATAAAAAATTTCAAGGATCGCGATTTAAAAAATTTCTAGAATTTTAAATTAAATTGGAATTGCAAAAATTTAAAGCTTCATCGGTAAAACATCGGAAGAATGTATAATTGAATAAAAAAAAAATCAATATTTGCCGAGCATTTAAATTTCAAAAGTTACGTTTATTACAATATAAATTCTCTTCATTATCTGTATCTATCAATGCGAATAAAACCGCAGATCATTATAAAATATATTAAATCAGCTGATGATCTAAATCGCGGAAATCGCGAAAAAGAGAATTTAAGTAAATAATAATAAATAAAGCTGTTGAAACTACAATGCTTGGTTGAATTTTTGTTATCTCATAAAATTAATATATATTCTTTTGGTATGTGCTTCATCAAGAATATATATTAATTTTATGAGATAACAAAAATTCAACCAAGCATTGTAGTTTCAACAGCTTTATTTATTATTATTTACTTAAATTCTCTTTCATTATCGATACTGCGATATGAACACAAAATTATAACAAGTCCACAAAATGAATATTTTAGATGCAGCGCGCACGCCCGGTGCACCGCGCGCCCACATATATTCCCTCCGAATACTCCGATATCGACGCTTGACATTGCATCTTTAACGCTTGTTTACCATCCCGCGATCGTAAGTTTCGTGCGAATGTGAATAGATTCATTTTAAAAATCGTGATACGATACGATCCTGAGGATCGACATTCCACTGTGGTCGTTGGAAAGACCGATTAGTTTCTCCCAGTTTCTCCATCCCTTCTCCCCGGTGGGCTCCTCGGTGCCGATACTGCCGATAAAAGCGACCGATATCAGTGACTCGCGTGCGGGCAACGTGTGTCGATCGATTTTTGATCAAATGCCAAATGTGACGATCTGAGCTCCCTTTCATCGCAACGTTCGAACGGCACGTTCCAACGTTGGTTCCTGGGAGGCGATTCCGCGGAGGATAAGGTTAGGACCTCAGGTTGACGCCGTTGCGACGTAATAAACGCTCGTCGGAGAAAGTGGAGTAGATCCGCATCGTCGCATTTCCCGCAAGATGGGCACGAGGATTTGCGCCGAGATCTGAATTCGCTTTCGTTCGAATCGTTATTAGAGCAAATCGCATCTAGTCACGCACGAATCTCAAGGCGTGTGTTTTTGATGTCAACGTAACATTCGTGGACGATGGACGGAGAGGATTCTGTAGACGTGGACGTGGACGCGGACGTGGACGCGGACGTGGACGCGGACACAGACGCGGACGTCGATGTCGACATCGTGGACGTGGACCCGCGGGAGCTGCAGGAGACCCTCCAGACGTACAGGAAGCTCGCCGACGATGTTGCGAATCACGACACGATTCTGAAGGTGAAAGCTCCGATTCATGATAATGAATGAATAAGCGAGATCCCAGATAGTCAAATCTGTTGAAAATCTTGCAAAGTGTGTTGTAAATTTTGCCAGCCGATCACCAGTCGAAATAGAATCAATTAGCAGAATACTACAAATTAATTACAGAAACTGAACAGAATCAGCTTACGTCAATAAGCTCAACAGCTTGCAGAATTTATTATGTCAATTTGCTAGAATCATTTGCTTGAATCAGCTGGCAAAAGCAGACTGCCAGCGTACCGTTAAGCTTTTGTTCACTGGGTCATTTTATCGTCAGCTGATCGCTTGATTTTTTTGTTGCAGGACAAGACAGTCTTGTCGTACGTAGCGTATGTCTTAGAAGTACCTGATTTAGATGTGGTTACCTTAGCTCTGGACATTCTGGAGATATTCGTTAAAAATGTAGACAATTATATACACATAACGTCCACTTTCGGCGTACGTGAATCTCTGGAGGCGATTATCAACAAGTACAGCTTGAACGAGCCAAAGATAGCCGGCCGAGCGCAGCACATCAAGGATGACATAGAGCGTATGAAACCGCCTATATATAACTTACGCAGCCGTTGCAGGCGGGTTATAGAGCCCAAAAAGTTGAAGACACATGTAATAGTTTTACACGTTCAAGGTTTATTGCCAGTGAGTACTAATTGTCTATTTCAGTTTATCAATATCACGTGTGGGGAAAGTAATTATATAGAAACAGCTGTACATTATAAGAGTAATAAAACAATCGGAATAATTAGGAGACTCGCGCCGTGTTGGAAGGGATACTGATAAGAATTGAAGGCCTCATCTCGCTTGTTGTCGATGTGGAGCATCAGCGTGTAACTATGCGCACCTTGAATTATGTCAAAGCGAAACAGATTGCGGAAGCGATTGACAAAAATACAGATCTCATGGAAGCGAGATTGGTTACGAGAAACAAATTTAATCAAGAGTTTCTCGTGAAATTGGTAAGGATTGTTATTGTTGCGATTTATATGACTCTGTTTTTATTACGACTGGAGCGTGTATTTTACACTTTAGTATTATTGTCGTTTACAACGTTGAACACGATATTTGATATTGAATATGTGAATATCTCCTTTAGATACAGGAAGGCGACACTGATAGCGAAGGATTGCCTGAATATTTGCCCGAAGAAGAGGAAGAAGACGATAGAGAGGGAGTTGTCTCATTATTTACCGGTTTAAAACAAAGCGCTTCATCGCTATACAAATCTACCACCGAGTTTCTAAGTAATTCATTCTACTGGTAGAATTTCTAACGGAGAACAACTCTTGTTGTAACTATAATTTTATTTATTTAAAATTAAATAATTGTTCGTCTGTCTCTTTAGAGGCAGGGCTGAAAACAATTTGTGTGTATAGATAGAATACATTACCTCAATAGATATATATATATAGATAATATATATATATATATATATATATATATATATATCAAAGAGAGACTTATAAAGTAATTTTTTTTTTAAGTAGTAATCATGATCAGTTAACTCTAATTATTTAAGAATCTCATACTCCTATGAGTATATTCATAATTGACATTGATTAAACAAAGTTCATTGGTTCTTACGATTTAGAATGACTATTTTTGTACTCTGCCTCAATAGAAAATCAACATGTACAAACAAATTTCTAAGTTTTAACGTTTATAGTTGTAAAAAGAAGAGAAGTACGTATATTTTACATGTATACAAAATTAACTTTCTTATTTTTCGTATTTTAATGTCATGCATGTTTTGTCTTACGAATTATGTAAATCTTATTATTATTACGATCTCAGAAACTTCTAATCGGATTTTAATATGCTAATATGTAAATAAGTAAATTCCAGTGTGTACGACATGCGCACTAAAGCTCTAATTACCAAATGTTATTCGTATAAATGAGATTTCATTATAAAAGCTTTTAAAAATGTCGGATTAGATGTAGATATTAAATATATGTGATATAACATTCATCAAGCCATACAGCTTTTGCAATCAAGTAAGAGTATAAAATGAACGAATTCTAACATTTAATTTTTTTAATTTTTCGATGTGTCTAAGTTTATTTGGATGACGTATTGGATAGCTCTTTGTAAAATTAATAACTAACTCTAAGTAATCGTCGGAATATACATAGCTATATCAATACCACGATCGAATTTAATGGCTGCTTTTAAGCAATCGTATAGAATAATTGAAGAAATCATTCGGAAACGCTATTTAAGATATCGTGTGTAATCTAAAATAACGTTTAATCTCTTTTGAATCTCGTCATGTTGTCGCTGTTCACAAAATCTATATATATACATATATATATATGCCACGCAATATATAATGTTTGGATTTGTACAAAGAATGAAATATAAAATGTTGTGTAAATCAACTTTATTTTATAACACAAATTTTGTGTACTGCTTCTATTATTATATAATAATAGAACTAGTCAGTTTTTTAGCTGCCACTGCACAAAAAGGAACAATTTATGCAACTACTCGCATAAGTATGATGGATACAATACGTATGATTACTACAAAGTACATCTCTCTCTACTTATAATATGCCTCGTAAATTATTTCGTTTCCGATGAGCACATCAAAATCATTATTCTACCTTATCTTTTACGCTTATTGACTAAATTCCCGTTGTATTGTCTATATTTACAGATACAGATGTATTATAATTGTCATTAAGGCAATTTGAGTTTCAAAGCAGGTACAATAGATGGATGCAAAACATCATTTCTTTTCCTGTAATCGAGTAAACGAAATAGCTCGTAGACACATGCGTGTGGAACAGAGAGATAGAAACTTACTAATAATTATTTAGTACCCGGTAGTTCGCGGAATGAGTATGAGGTTTTTTCGCGTGTGCAGTCCAGTGCTATTGTTGAGCTTCGTTTTGAAACTCGCGTAACCTGCACCACTGTTTGACTATTTCGCGCAATACAACTCTCATCACTTCTTAAACTATACATTAAATGCTTAGGCTGAAATCAATAAGTACATAGTTACTATAGACTTATACGCTCTCTTGACTCTTGTTGGCTGTGAAGTAAAAAAAAAAAGAGAGAGAAAGAGAATTAAGGTTCTTACGTATGAGCATATGTCTTGGAAAATATATACGATAGTACAATGTATCCCTCCTGTTGTAAATATAGTAGCTTCCGAGGAAGGGAGTCTCGCATATTTTTTTGTATATATTTTTCCTCTTACTTTTCGATTTTTGCCTAACATCTTCGTATCCATAATATATTGCAAATATAAAAGATCATACAGGTACAACAATATCTTTTAATACATGCTTCAAAGACTAAATTGCGTATTATTTTATCAATTCTCTAACTTTCACTAGACACTTCGACACGGTTGATGCATGCAAATTGCCATAGGCACTTATGTCATAATAAAATTCATTATCGTTACGTTGTACATTTTATTTCTGTTTCGAGAGGTTCACTGAATTCCTTTTCTTTTAAGAGAATGCATTTAAACTGTGCACATACAATAATATAATATCATAAACTAGATGCTTCCATAACTATGAAGGCATCTTTACTCTATTTACAGCTGCCTTTTCATTTCGTCAAACACATATACATAATCAGGGAAACACATGTGAATTTGAAGAGTTTTTTAACTGCCTGTATCTTTCGATGAAAACTTATTTCTATGGCAATGGGTATGCACAGTTTGAAATTAGATTTGTGACTTAATACATATGCGTATACAGAAAGAACTGTGAATGCGAAATAGATGCCATGGGAGAAATAAATACATGATTCCTTCTTGCAGAGTACACCGAGCATTATGTACACAGCTTAACATTTACATAATGACAATTATTAAAGCGGAATTAATGAATGTTAAGCATAAAAAGTCTGATGTACATAACAATTTCGAATAATATTAAATCAATGCATCTGCAAATAATATCCTTCGAAGCAGTATTTAGATTTGTTGAATGAGAATTACGCTATACATCTACATTCATGTGTTTTCATGTTGTATATGCTTGTAAAAAGTGTTGCACATAACTCAAATAAACTTGAGCAATATTAATCTGACTTTTTGCAATTTATATATGCGACTGGTTAAACACTGATTAAGAATACTTTCGAAAACTATTTAATAATTAATCAGGATATAAAGTCTCGAATTCTCGAATTATTTGCTTATTGAATTGTTTTTCTAAATAATATTATATACTTTTTAATATATATATGTATACATATGTTTATATATGGAAATATGTATGTGGATGCAAGTATATATGTATGTCATTATGTATGTGTACGCGTATACATATATGAATAGATAAATATCTACAATATTTAACATATAAGTTACAGAATGAAGAATGACGTGATTACTGAATTTCACTCAGGCAGTAACTCTAACTTACTAAACCGATCATAAATCAGATATAAAAATTACACTAATAACTAATCTATTCGACTCTCCATCTTCATAGATCCATTCGCCGGTTGAGATGCAATTGTAATTTCACTGACTTCGTCCGTTTCCGATTGACTCGATGTATCAGAAACATCGTCTATTTCCTTTCTCTATGTTTAAATTAAATATATATGCTTTTTAATTTCATACTTTTTATAAAAATTATTATTTATAAAATTTGATTATCATCCGCGAAAAACTAAATAAGTTAAAAAAAATTATGAAAAAACTCACTTTAAAGTTATTTAATACATCTATTTATATATTTTTTTCAATATAATTTTATAATTATTTATCGAAACATTCGCTTAAAAATAAATATTTAATTATTAATTTAATATTATTTATTAAATATTATCAAAGATTTAACTAAATATTCAATTTACTTACTTTTTGGGAATGATGTATATTACGAAGAACTCTTTGAACATCGGGATTACTTTCTAAGGTGGAAGTTTGACTGGACGGAGGATGCGAATATTCAGAAGTATTTTCCTCATCAGAAGCTAATATCCTCTGTATTCTCCCGGGTGTTGTCAATTTAGATCTTCGTAATCTGCATCCGGGACCGATCGGCCTCCTTGCGATACTATATAATATTCAAAGGAATATATATTCTGCCTTCAGTATTTATTGTTAGATGCAAAAATTCAAGTAGCGCTGTTAATGCTAAAATAAACTTTGTAACTTTGAAATTTTGTAACAAAGAATTTAATTTCTAATTTATTTTCTAAAAAATTGACAAGACTATTATTTTATAAGCTCCTATTTAAATTAATTTTTTCAAGTTTAAAATGTTTTTTTTTTACTTAAAAAAATAACAATCAGTAAAATTAAAATTTCAAATTATTAAGATACTCTTGTAGAAATATTGTATTCACTAAATTAACTGAAATACCTTCTTCGCCTTAAGGAATAATTATAAGTATAGCTTGGATCCTCTCCCTCTTCATCTGACCAGCTTTCTTCACAAGCATCGTCTTCGCGATCACCGATATTGTCCGAAGAAGCTCGTATTTTAATATCGGATTGTTCCATCGGATAGTGCCCAGATAATTTGCCTGAATCTTCCTTATTTCTACTGTAAAGTTTGATTTAATAAATAATAAATTATATTTATTAATGTTAATCCTTAAGTAATGCGATGTAATTTTATGTATATTGAAACATTCTAGTTTCCAAAATCATTTAGAGTTTCTGCTTAAAGAAAGATAAAATAATAGAATAACTAATAAGAAACACATTAATTTAAATAATTATAAATAAATATCTAAAATAAAATAGGTTTTTTAATGCACTTTTATAATTTAATTATAAGTCATAATATTCTCTTTTTTCTCCTTGAATCTTATATCATATCATCACACATTGGTTTAAATACTACGACTTACTGTAGCACTTAAGGATTAACAGATACGATTACACAAAAGTCACGTGTTCGCAGATATGATTATACATACCTATGGATTATTACATCATCGCCATTTCCATTGTCAATGATAAGACGATTTGCATTAATAATCTCGCTAACTTTTCTGCCGAGAGTCTCAAGATTGTCGTCGTCGCTACAATCCTTCAAACGTTCGTTTCCATTGGAGTTATTTTCATTTAAATGCTCGGGACTGGAGCACAAACTAGTTTGCATCGGATAGTGCGTTTCCGGCAAAATTGGATTCCCGTTCAAGCATTCTGTCGCCTGCTTATTCAATGAATGCCTTCTAATGAGGTCCAAAGAGGATTTCTCCGGGAAAGAAAACGCTGCATTCACTGGATTGTGATCCATTTCACTGATGTCCGTTTGTGTGTGGCTGTCAATGAATCTTGCAGGTACTTCTACGCTCTATAATTAACAATCATATATATTAAAAATATGAGAAATTATACAAACTTATTTTGAGAAATATAAACTAATGCATTATAGAAATTAGAAATCTGAATTTTCTTACAGAGACTGTATCTCTCCTCTACTCTTCCATTAAAATTTAAAAAATTACAAGCACTAAATATTGAAAAAGTTGATAGCGATTGAAATTATTTAATTATTTTTAATAAAATTATCTTTAACGTTATCTCTTTAATTATTTATTCTAGATCACTATTTTCACCTTTCGTTCACGATGAGGACTCGATCTAGGACTCGAACTCACACCACAACCCGAACCGACCCTACGATGCCTGTATTTACGTTGTTTGAAGCTATTGCTTGACGCTAAAACAGTTTCCGGCTGATTGGATTCGTTCAGCTGCGTATACATGGTGGCTTTGACGGGGCTCTGCGGTGAATCCGTAGGCGACGGAGGGGTAGTAGGCGTCGAGGAAGTAGAAAACTGTACCGTGCCATTCCGTCTGCGGTACAGCCTCTCTTGGGCCTTCAATAAAGGACGGACAAGACGTTTCTTGTACTGCTTGTATCCTGTTGATTGCTGTTCTCTCCTGAGACAAACCAGACATTTATTTCCAAATGTTCCAAATGTGCGAGTTCGGCTGCAATCTTGCGTTATCGTAAGCGCAAAGCGATTACGCAAAGCGAAACTGCGTCGTCTATATTAAAAAAAAAAATTTTAAAAAAATATACATGATGTAGTAAATCTCTCACACGTACGTCATGTGCAACACGATATATCGCAGCATGCATATTATACACTATAGAATACGTCTATTTGACTTTCTCTTAAATTATAAAGAATGATGTTCTTCTCACTTTATCACATCTCGCTCGCGTAATTCTAATTGCAGCAGAATAGCGTTCAATTCCAAGTACAAGTTGTTGGTGCGTTCGAGTTTGCGCTCATAATGTTCCCTGACATCCTGAGCGTGTCGTAATTCATCCTTCCTCCGCCGGATTAGCTCGGCCTCAAAACGTGGATCGGAACTAGTAAATAGAGGCATGTGCTGCATGTGTTCCTGTATTTCCTTCTTCCAAGATTGCTGTAACGAAGAGAATTCTGTTATCACCTGTTGTCACAGAGAACAATTCATTACTTATTTCATCAGTCATTTGTAAATCGTAAAAGCTGCCTTTACAATTTATTTAAAAATTTTAATTGTTACTAGATTTTATTGTACGTAATAACCAAAGGAACAAATGAGAATTTTTTTCAATATGTTTACGAATAATATAAAAAAGTAAGATAGTATATATTATCTTAATTTTTAATATATATATTGTATAATAACATATATTTTTAAAGAATACAAAATAAAAAAAAATACTGTCGGTTCTTGTAGGCTATTTCACTATATTTGAAAAAAATACTTTTGTGTTTTGCTTATTTAACAGACTTTGGTATTGAATTATTATCTATTAGTATGCAATTAGGCTTAAATTTCTGAAATTTGCATTATCGCGAGAAAAGTACCTACCTGTGCCTTAAAATAATCTTCGGGCTCCGTGTTGAGTACGTCAACAGCTGCGATAGCGAGGTGCATCTCGATGAGTTTGAAGGAAGGTCTGTTACGTGGTTTGGCCGACCAACACTGCTTAACCAGTAGCCCATATCCCTCTGGACAACTGGTGGGAATTGGTAAATGAAGAGAATTGCTGCCCACACCCCACATAACAGCGGAAGAATCCACGTCCTTGTAAGGTATCTCGCCGCTCAGTAATTCCCATAGTACAACACCGTACGACCATATGTCTACCTTTTCCGAGCATGGCTCGTTCCTGATTACCTCCGGCGCCATCCACGCCACCGTACCGGCGAAAGTCATTTTCGTGCTAATCTCATTCCACTGTCTACTCGTGCCGAAATCACTGATCTTCACTATTTCCCCTTGTCCTATTAGTACACTATAAATACAATAATTTTTGATATTATTTTACCATTATTATGACTTTTGGATATATTTTATCTTTAACAGATTTTACGTCGCGCCAATTTCAATTAAATTTTATGCTACAGTTTATCTCAAAGACATGCTACACACTCATTGCTTAAATAATTTCAGAATCAATTTTTTTTTTAACAAAAATATTAATAGCAATTATTTATTTCATTAGATATTTCAATTTTATCAATTTCCATTGTTTACTTACTTTGGACTTTTGAGATCTCTGTGTATAATTTTGTGAGCATGAAGATACGTCATCCCCGCAGCAATTTGTTTTGACCATGACACCAATCTAGCAGGAGGAACCGGTTCTCCAGCTCTCAGAAGGTCATATAATGGTCCGTACGGACAAAACTCCATTATTATGCAATAGCAAGGAGGTTTCGTACACACTCCTCTGTAAACAACAGAAGGTTTGATAATAAACATTTTATAAAAATGCAACTTATACCTTAATATTAGAGGAGAAATAGTGGAGCTTACTTGAACTGTACAATATTCGGATGATTGAGTTTCCGCAAATGGCGTATGTCAGTCTCTTTCGGTTCCTTCACCTTTTTTACAGCTACTATTTCCTTATTTAATTTCCCACTAAATACTGCACCTTGAGCCCCAGATCCGAGCCACTGTAGCTCGCTGATAGATTCGAAGCGTATCTCCCAATCGTCTGCTAAATAAGGCAGTTCGTATGAATACAGCTGCACCAAATATAATTCACACAAATCTTTTCAAAATTACGACTATTTCAGGCAACAAAATATTAAAAACAAAATATTATAACGTGGATTCTATTTTAAATATAAAATTGTATATAAAGTTGATCTTGTCGATTATATAGATTTAATATATCGTTGCTTCAAACGCCTTATAGAACGCCTTATAAAGAACAACGATTAACTTGACCATTAATCTTTACTACACGTAAAATAAAAAGTTTCGCACAAAATATGTAAAAAATTTTCGAAATTTGCACATTGCCACTTAATTTAAAAAGAGGAGAAAAAATAATAGGCAAAAGAAGCCACATCGAAACTTACATAACTTACTTGAAAGACCCTTAATTTTTTCGTTAATAGCAGCCTTCGATAGCATGGTCCAAACGGGACGCATGCATCCCAGGATGCCCTCGACCCAACTCGATCGCTGAGAGTCGATGCTTTCCGATCCGGGAGCGCATCTTGTCGCGGCATCGCTGGAATTGCCCGCGAAATTGAGGTGATTACTATTGGGCAATTGAACTTGAACCTCACGCACGGTAATTAGCCGTTCGGGGCTACCCGCGATTTCACTCAGCTGAGCCAGCTCCCCTTGGATGCATAGCATGCTGAAATTTTATATAGATTACATTATTTACGATAACACCTGACGCAAATCATTATCATGTACACTATTGCCATGCACATTTATCACAAAACATTACGACAATGCTCGAAATAACAATACAAATATCTGACATACAAAGGATTTAAATTAACCGATAATAAAATTCTAATGTATTATGTATAAGGGACATGAGTGTTCGTAAACAAGTAATTGAAACTCACGATTCAGGTGATAAAAACAGGGGAAATTAACTACAAAATTAATTCCATTTTCACGTATGCTTTGTTCCTCGATACGCGCTCTTTGAATATTCAGAGATGAATAAGATTAATGTAAATATGGGGTATTCGTAACGATGCACATTATCTCTGCTACATATTGTATTTGTTTCATTACATAGAATACATTATTCATCAAGCACAGAAAAAAAACTTGCGAAACAATTTTGATTTGACTATGGCTGCGGACCCTACAAATGCTTCGAAGCGTTTGATAGACTAATCGAAACAAAGAATTTTATAAACTAACCAATGAAAAAATCCTTCGAAACATTTGTAATGTCAAATAAACTAGCCACAATAATATATATATATATTTTTTTTTTAATTTTTGCTGTTAAAAATGTGTATACATTGTATATTTAAAAGATATATAAATTTTTTTGTTTTTCTTTTCCCTTTAGGTTTTATGGATCTTTTATTTACTTTCTCGATCTTGTTTCTTTTAACAAAAAACTTATATCGCTATGTACAATAATATAGCAGAAGAGATTTCTATATTTTTGTTATTGTTTTCCTATCGCAAATGAAAAAAATAATCGACCCAAGAAAATTATATTTATCTTGTAAATTCTATTGAGAATTATCCACAAAAAGAGAAACCGAAAATTATACGTAATTTTATCTTTATGCGGTCCGTTGAACGATAAGAAACGACGTATATGCCGCACGTCACGCCAACGATATCAATCGCTGGATGGTCTTATGCCAATATACAGTGATGATCATTTTCGATCATGTGTACACTGGAGTTTTAAATATCGTGAGAAATCTCCCAAATTAAGCTGCACCTAGGTATAAGGATCAAAATGCCAAAATACGTCACTATTAATTCTCGATGCATCGATTTTAACATTGTTCGATATAGCTGCGTATTTAATTAAAACCATTAGTCTCTATACTGTCGATGTAAAATATAGACATTGATATTGGTGTAAATAAGACTGTATAAGATATACAGTCTTATCTATAATTATAGCATTGTCTTCGCTAAAGAAATAAATTTGAAAAAAAAAAGAGAAATTATTATATTCTTATCGTATTACTTTAACTCTATCTATTTTTAGCAAACAGCATGTCAATATTATTAAAAATATCGAATATTATGCCGGAATCCTGGCATTTCTTGCCCATTACATATCAGCTGACTGACTGATCGAGAAAACAAATAGCTTCATGGTAATTTATTTTTAAACACGATGATCGGAACGAGACCTGATATAATTTTTTTAAACATAATTTTAAAACATCCGCTCTAATATGTCAAATATTTTTAAAACAACAGCACAATTTCATTTCTCTTTATGTTTCAGTTCTCTTTGTTTGTTACTCCTAATTTATTTCTTTTTTTCTTCAAAAAAATTTACATTTACTTCTTCTTTCTGTTTCGAGGACCGCCGAAAGGTGATATTGTACCGATAACAATCGCAACGCCTCGTTCGCAGACGTCTTTTCAAGGTTACACGTGGCAAAAGATTTGCGTTTGTGTCAATGACTTTTCACGACTAACACACTAAGTGGACATATTTATCTACGTTTCTCTCTCTCTCTCTCTCTCTCTCTCTCCCTCTTTCTTGATGAGTACAGGTGCATCTGGCAAGTAAGCGAGAACTTCCATTATTCGAAATTGGTCATCAGTATTTACGTACTTATGGAAAGAACACAAAGTGCTCAATTAATGATATTTTTAATAACAGACTTTTTCATCGTTTGCTCTTTTTTTCTTGATATATTAATCTTAAGAGATTCTTGACTGCAGAGTTGAAAATAAAAGTATTTTGCAAAAAATAAATTTTTTAGTTTTTACAAATTTAAAAATAAAGAAAGGTCACAAGTAGTTTTGTATCTGATATTTTTGTCAATAATAGTTGCATCATTATAAATTTGAATTTAATCTTATTTTTCCATGCAGAATTTAACTTTTCAGATATTTTGTACTAAAAATATAATAGTCGTTATAAAAATGATTTTTCTCAAAAACTTTATTTAACATTTACAATAAATTCACTAAAAAAATTTCTCGGGATTAAGCTTATTGAACACCCTGTATACATTGATATCGCATCATGGAGACTTGAAACGTCACGCCCACTGTAATTTCGATTAATGCGATGCAACTTTTTCATGTCTGTTGCGGAGATTAATATTATTATACCGGCTCTGATAACATGATGCCGCGCGTTATCGGGCGTTTTATTTCGTTATGAGATCGTAACAAAAACCTTTGAACGGAATACAACAATGTGGCGTACAACGCGGATATCGATCGCGCGCTTTACGTCGCAACTGCGGTATACACATGTAGATATATGTTTCTAAATTTAATTCTCGACTGATAGTACTAGTCATGCTCTACTAAATTCTTTAGCGTTTCACGGACAGATTCTTTCAGACTTCGGGGAAAACCAAATTTATCAGAACATATTTGGTGTATCTATAAAAAAAAAACTCTATGCAATTACGGTTGATATCACTTCCCTGAATTATCTGGACATATCCGGGTGTCACACTTCGCAGTATAAAAATGCAATAAAGAGCGTAATAAAAATAGTTATTACATACATATTAGAGTGTATATTATTTTATGGTATTGTAACCAATTAATATAAAAATGTATATGAATATGCATCAAATATGTATATTGTATATTGTGGACACTTGTGAAAAAAAATTCTTCTTTTATCAAATATCTTTCAAGTAGAGACACAAAACAGTTTCAAACAATCTTTCAGAAATAACATTTGCTTCACCTTTGCCCATATGATACAATATTTGTGTACCGTAGATATATATTTATTTATGTAAAGTATATGTGTATCTTTATCTGTTCCTGATTCAACGGTGTTTTTGTGATAATGTATACCACATATATTCAAATGTTCAACATACTTTGAATCCCTATTTCTTAATATTTTTTACATATTACATATATTAAAATATTAAACGCAATGAGAAAAGATTTAGTAAATGTTTCTGGATTATTCAAGTATAATGGAAAAACATTTTTTCACATAACATGGTTAATTTAAAGCTAAAATCTTTCAATAACAAATCTTTGCTTATTGTAGTTAATTAAAAATAAGAAAAATGCATTTTTTAAATTAAAATTATATTTTTATAAATACAAAATTTTATCTAAAAAATATATAGTTTATTTAGGAATAATCTAAAATTAAAAAAGTAATAGAGAGAGAGATTCTTCGCTTTCTTTTTATGGCACGCTGTATAAAATGAACTTTTCAAAATTTCACCGAGATTTTATAATGATTTCTTTTAACGATTAAAACGATATCTAAAATGAAAAGACGGAATGAAAAGAAGGAATTTCGTGCACGTATGAAAGGAATTGCATAAACAAGCCGGAGTTGTGTTTAAATTGGTTATCAGCTGTTGATTATATTGATAACCGATATAGAGCGCATGAAAAAACATTCCGAGTCATGGCGCGACAATTTTACCTAAATTTATATGTAAGTGATAGAGTCGCCGACGCGTCTGTAGTGGAAGTAGAACGGGCTGTCGATCGCGTCGTGAAAAATATCAAAACAGTGCCGATATGCCAGCTGTATTTTCACGCGAACGTTATCACATCGCGTGCTCAAACGATGACAGTGTCGCTTGTTATACACATATTATCGCTACATATATCGCGGAATGTCCAGCCATTCATTAGATATGTTAATGCGTTAAAAGTTTAAGGGCAACAAAATTTTCCAATCGTAAGCTCTCTGTACAAACATCTAAAAAACTAGAAAGAAAAATGGAAAGAAAGCGTCAAGTGGAAAAAGAGATATTTTTCGTTAAGATTACATTTATTAAAATATTTTCAGATAAGAGATACATTAATTCAGTAAAGTTTGACTTCTAATTTCTATTCTATTCCTTGATAAAAAAAATAAACCGTCAAAGTTAATGTATTTTGGAATTAGTTAAGTTAGCAATAAGTTATGGGTAAAATTTAATCTCGCGTTTTTTTTTATTTCTCGGTATAAAAAATCACGCTAATATATTCCATTTTTAATACCGTCGAATATGAATTCGTGCGAAAGTAAGCTGAGGGAGTAAGAGTAGCCTTGGAAACACGGGTGGCGGCGGCGCCCTTGACAGAGGAACGCGACGGCGATCGCCGCGGCTTTGAGATAAAACGATTGTCTTCGGGGAACAGCCTTCTCTCTTATCGTCCTCCTCTTGCGAATACATAAGAAGCCGAGCGTAAATGTACAACGCAAGAACCGACACGCTGCATAACGAGCGAGCCGGAGTAAATGCATAGTACCGTGCATGCACGTTTGCCGTGGCCTTCGTATCAGCTGTCCGCTGGCGTCACTCAATGAGGGCCGTGCTGATCGCCGTAAACAAATGCACCAGACTAACGGCGGACTGTCGGATTCTTTGCATTATTTAGCATTAGTTATACTACGTCAGATGGCAAAGTATTTATCTCTCGTTTTTTTTCTTCAATTTTACATTCTATTTTATTGCTTATTTAATGAATTAATTTGAGTATACTATTTCCAGTATTATTCCACGTCTAATGTAGCGAGCGTCGATTGAGCACGTCGTACGATAACGTCGTGAAAATTCAAGCCGTCTATATATTTGTTCATATTTCTTTAATTGCTCCTAACTGCATACAGATACATCTCTATAAATCATTTTATTTTGCAACTCATTCTGTCAATACATCCGAAAGAGATTTGCATTATAATATATTTGAAAGATATGTATATATAATTCTAATTGATTATCTATATAACGAGAACAAATTACTGTAATTATATCTGAAATCCGTCAATTGTATTAAAAATTTTTAACTCAATTTTTAAAAAACTGAGTACTTTTCTACATCAGTTGTTGCTCCGCAAAAAATTGCGATTTCATCATTGACTCGACGATACAAGAGATGAGATTTGTATTTTTAACGCATTTGAATCATATATATATAAGTATATATAATTGATGCAGCGTGCATCAAATCTCAATTTGTTATTAAAAGAGAACACCACATCCGAATATTGTCTGCATCACAACACCAGAATATTATGGACAGCCGTCGAAACGTCCGAAATGCACGTTCGAAAGAAACGAAATCTCCTTCTTTTCATGAATGTTTAAACCTTCTAAGATTTCTAAGATTCATTTGTGATAACACAACACTACAAGTCTCAAATTTCGCGCCGACGACGATCGAAAGAAAGCGGAGTCACTGGGACGCGACTCGAAAAGGCGAACACATCGCTTCTCCCGAGATACTCGTTCCATTTTCACAAGATTCGTGCGAGAAAGATGACGCAAGAATTTTTGGGACCTACAATTAGGATGGTCGATGTTATCTTGGGGCAGACAGGAAGGTTTATTTTTTTTTTTCTTAGCCAACACCACGGTATTATCATTTTTAACACTAATATTCCCCGACAGGACGCGAATGTCCGTGCGTGAAATATCAGCGATAACGTCGGCTCGGGAATGTGTCTCCGACGAGCGGGCGATAATGGATAACGTGCCGCCGCGGCGCGCCGCGTCGAGCGCGAGAGGAGACGCATATTCGCCGTTGTTGACGGAGTCCGACTATTGGTGAGCGCATTCCGCGAACCCGGGACGACTTTCGCGGGATCGCGAACGCGTTACAAAGACGCGGGAGGAGAGGGAGGCCAACGTTCGCAAATCGCACGGACGATTCGCCTTACCTCTTGGTCGTAGCGCTGGCCACCACATCGCCGGGTATTACCGTAACGGCGACGGCGTCGGGCTCGCCGGCGGCGGCGTCGTCGTTCTGCGTCGCTGGCTTCTTGAGGAAGAACCGCGCGAGGACCATCGCGTCGCGTACAGCATATGGACGTGCGAACGGGGAGCACTCTGCTTACACCGCGAGAGCGGCAACGCGGCCGACGAGAGAGGCGAGTGTGTCGTCGTCACGTCACACCACCGAACGCCGATCGTTTCGTATCCGAGGACGACACGCACATGTGCACGCACGCACGAAATGTATCCCACTTACTGACGCGAACGGCGAATGTGTAAGACCAGCAGGGGACTGTGGATATGGAGAGGACCGAGAAAAGCTACCTCTTTGTCGTCTCTCTCTCTCTCTCTCTCTCTCTTTCCTTTCCTCTTTCCCGCCTCCCTCTATCTCTCTCCCACCTCTTTCTCTCCCTCCCGTTTCTCTCTTTCTCTCTCGACTTATCTCTGCCATTCCAAACATCGCCGCCACATGCTATCGATAGCGCTCGCTCACTCGCTCGCTCGCGACGCAATGCGCGAGTAGAGATAATGCGACGCGCGCTATTTCGAATTCGCAAATACATAACACGAGGTATCTGTCAACTTTTCCCATCCTTTGTATACCGATAACAATTGTCAGATTTGCAAGTGTTTAAACGATATAACACATAAATGGTAAACTGATGGCAATATCGACTTCGATCCAATACAATTAGATCTGGTTTTTTATTTTCTGATTAACTTGTGGTTTAGGTTTAATCTGACGATAATGTAAAAATTGTGTTTTGCTATCTAACCATTAAACTGACGGTTGTAGTTGTAATTGTTACTACTATAAAACCATCAGTTTAGTGATTAATCATAGATAGAAAAATACAATTTTTATAATATATCATCAGATAAAATTTAAGTGAAGCTTAAACTATAAGTTAACCTGAAAGTGAGAAACCGATCCTTAGTGGAAGTGGTTTTTTGATTTAAAAAAACATGCATGATGCAAGAATTCAGAAACGTGACCAATGTTGACTAATGATTGACTAATACGCGAGATTTTGATTAGCAACGTGCATTAAGATATCTCCGTATCGGAATATAAAATCATGTAATTAATAATGACATAAATATAACAGATAACAGTTAATTGACAATTAAATAAAATAATAATTTTAATCTTATGTCCAGCATGCTATTTTGAATTTTTAAAAGAGAGAGAGAGAGAGAAACAAAGAAGAGCGATAAAGGTAACTGTCTTCTGACTACATAGAATACAATGACTAAACTATCGAATAAATAAAACTTAAATGTGTAATAAATACGTTCTGATACATGTATTTAATGATCTCAGAACATAGCAACATGTAAAAACTGTTTTTCTTTTTGCGAGAAACGTTTTCGACTACGTTCATGGTCGTAAATTACTGTTACTCTCTAAATCAGTGAAAAAGTCACTGATTCAGTAACGCCTTGCATCGCTAATAAATAAGTGAAACAGAGCCGAATTCGCTGTGCAATTAGCGAGAACAGTTAAATCCACTGATTTTTCGATTATAGCGATTATTCACTTATATATTAGTGATTTCCGAAAGACAATAAAGTTGAATTTCATTGATTACCAGTCACATACTTGGGACTGATGCAATGAATCAATGAATAATGATTGATTCATTGCATTTAGTTCTAACTATATTACTGAATCAGTGACTATTGATTATCCAACTATTGATTATCAATGGTCCACTGATACAGATTTAGAGAGCATGAAAAGGTCTAACTTCTTTTTCTTTCTCTTCTTTTTTTTTCTTCTTTCCTTCTCTTTTTCTCTCTCTCCCCCGCTTTCATTCACTCTCCTCTTTTTTCTCCTCTTCTTTTATCGTCTAAATTATCGCAGAATCTTATCAACAGAAAGAATTACCTGTTAGTAAATATGTGAGTCTCTGGATGAGGAGACGATAAAACCACTCCATTGACGTCCGCGGACGTTTCCGTTTCCTCGATTTCCAGGCTGTACATTACGTCGGGTTGGGCCAGGGCTTCAGTCTGAACAAGAGTGCGCATTCTTATCTAAGTGCCCTACTGATCAATCTGAAATAAAGCATTTCAATTCTGTTATCTTTAATCATTTGCCGATTTTGCATAAATCGCGTTTGCAACAATAACACAAAAAATAGACAAAACGTAACATTATATAGATAAAATAAAACGTTTTTTTTACATTAAATAAGTAATTATTTAATAATTTTGAGATCAATCAACTCTGTCTTGATCGACGAAAATTGAATGTATAAAAAGACGATCCTACATATTTCTATCAACAATTATTCACAGCTTAGAGTTAAAGGAATAAATGATTAGATTCCACTGTAGACTAACAGTTAAATAGTTGTCAAAATTCATCAGTCATTAAATACAAGAATATCAGCTATTCGAGCTTTATTTTATTTTTATAAAGATTTTATTCTTACGCATACATCGTTATGTATGAACGTATGATGATTAAAGATTTAGTTTTGTTCCGATTATACTAATTATTTCATCCAACGCTCGGTATGTTAAGGAGTATCTGCACGTGATTGTCGGCTATCACGTTGGAATGGACAAAAATGAAAAAGGAAGAAATCACCTTTGGCGTAATACCTACTGGAGGAACCCGGACTCAATGGAATGTTGATGCCTGGCCTGCTAAGATGTCTAAGAGGTATGGTATGTGTCTGCATACCAGTTTACATGGATTCTTTGAACTCCGGGTTTAGCCATATCATGCAGACATTTTTCACGGCTATTAAAGATAGCTACTCTCTAAATACAATATAATATAATAAAAGAGTTTTGTGAAAAATATGTCGAAGAAAATTTATGAATGCAAAGTAAAAATAATATCGAGTTTTAAACTAGAAAATCAGTGGCCGAACTTCGACATTCAATACCCGAAGATTCAATAATTCTGGAAAGCTACATGGTTTGCGGGTGATCTTCATATCTTCATCAAACATTGTTAAATGTCAACGTTTAGATAATTCGATAATTATAATTTAGAAAACGGGAAGTAGTACTCATTAAGAGAAAAGCAGTCTTTATTTGTTTTTCAAATTATAAGACTAAAAAGATGTCTTTAAAATTCTTACAGATTTAAAATAAATCGATAATAATGTGATAAGCAGGAGGATGAATAATATACGTAATATTTGCTCCACGCATGTCCCTTATACAAAAGGTGAAAAAAGAAACCAGGAACTCCTCCAGAGTGAGTCACGCTTAGGTGCGCCCTCAATTAATCCTGTGCACCTGGATCGAAGTCTTACCAAGTTCCAAGTTACTTGAACCTGACAACCCCTGAAACCACTGATTCTAGCGCGTATATACGTAAATATCCATTTTCAATAACACGCTTAATATAAAAAATTTATTCATTCTCTCTAAATTACTTGGTTATTACACTATTTGTTTAACGATTTTTATGTCTCATATTAAGTTTTTTAAATATATAAATTTCGTGTTGCGCGCGCACGCGTGTGTATAATAAAAATTTATGTCTCAGATAAAATTAGTAGCCTTCAGAATATAATTATATCTTATTAATAATAATGTAACACAAATGTGTATTGTTCAGATAATATAATATATACAAAATTTTTATAACATATCCTTGATATATAATACAATTCATCTAAATTACGACATTGATTAATTTTCAAGTCGCGAATATCCGAACATTTCCAACAAGAATAATAAATAAAAGTTTTACAAATTGTTTAGAATAAAAGAGAATTTTGAAGCTGCGTGAAGGTACCATTATTTTTGAGAGAATAAATAGTTCGGTTATACTCCGAAGGGTTACCAATTTTATCTGAGGAACATAAATTTTAATGAGAAGGGTGTACACCCTCCGTTCTAATTCTATGCACCCTGTGTAGACGTAAATTGCGACTCGATCAGATATAACTCGCATACGACCATCTGACAGAAATAGTAGCGAATAGTGGCATCGCATATGTCAGTTTACTCACATGACTTTTCTGCAATATATGTCGTATTATACTTTTAAAAAAAAAAAGGCAACGCAAAGATCAAGAATATCTCAATTTATTTCTCGCATTTATGTAAATTTTATATTTTTAATAATTGCAAGGTAGTTAATTTCATTGATTTTTATGTCCATGTAACGATGATGTTAAGTTGCTAAAAACATAGACTAAAATATTAAATTTCTATGAAAGAAGACTTGAAAATCTACAATTTCTCGTTGTTTCATTTTGAGAATCACTGACTACCTAAAAGATTAAAGGGATTTGAAAGAGAGTTTTCCAACAGGTGTGCTTGGCAAAGTCCATACCTGCTTCTCAGAAGCTAAAAATAAGCATCAGAAGTTGAGAAAACCTAAAGTTTGACCCTTATTCGATTTCCAATATATTTCCAATAAAATGATTTAACAAATCTGCAATTTTTGAAGATTGAAAAGAAAGATTATTTGACGTGAAAAACACAAATGACAGAGAGAATGACAATCTTTATAGATATTTTCGCTAAAGAAGACTCTCAAAGATAATCGAAGATTCTGTAAAACAAAGACTCTTCGCTGACGACATCATGTATCAAATAAATGTATAACGAAGTTCTTTATCAGGTCCTGCATAGATATCCTTCCGGATACGTTTTCCCCAATCTATCCCACTGTCTATCGCGCAAATATTATTACTTTTTACGGATAACATGACGTGAAAACGATTGGGAGGCACTGTCATGGGGGAGGGGAGGAAGGAGTGCGAAGTATCGCGTGTGCAGAATGACCTGCGCACACAAAGACAGGCCTGCTCTCGAGGGTCACCACGGCACGAGAACGGTCCCTCTGGAACGAAAATAACAAGGGCGGAGAAAATGACAATCCATTTCTAACGTTGTTAAATAGGTGTAACACCACTGCGAACGGTATCGGCCGAGAACGCCATTCTCATGCGTCATTCGTTGCTCGTATCACCAGTTCGTAACCGCGGTTCTTGATCGATCAAGCAAGTTCTTATTTAGCTCTTTGCTACATTAATTACAATCCATTTCCTTTTACGCGTAGAACCTGATTTTGATCAGAAGTTTCGCATAGCTTCGTTGAATGAACTTTTGAATGTTTATAGCGGGAAACGAATTTCAGAAAGCTTTCTTAATTCTTTATTGTTTTTAAAGAAATGTCTCAACAAAAATTTGACTTGGATATTTTATATAAAAAATCATTATTGCATTTCTTTTCTTTTATTCTACTAGATTTGAATTTCTGTACTTCTTTTACATCTTTTCTATAAAACACTATGCTTTTCTCTAACTTTAATTAGTCAAATATAAATTTAAAAAATTAAGATTAATAGTTTAAAATTAAATAAATTAAATTAAAATTAAATGTTAATTAAATGTTAATTAAATGTAAATGAATTTAAAATTAAATATAAACATATATTTATATCTAAATGTGAATTTAAAATTAAGTATAGAGCTATATACATATAGAGCTACAAGATTATATTTTTTTCTACAAAAACTAAAGAAACGTAACTTAATGTTACAAAATTTAAGACACATGTTTGTTTTGAGAAAAAAGAAATATATCAAAACTTTTTAGCTATTATAATACATGATATAAAAAAAATAACAAAATACTCAAATATTTGTTGATCTCTTATAGTTTACAATAAAATAAGTAAGAAAACAAAATCGAACAAAAAATTCTAAATCTCAAATTATGTAATCGTGCTGTGCCCTGAATCCGTGTATAAATAGAAATAAAATGAGAGTAAATTCTAAAAATATACATTCGAATGTATTTCGAAGATCCTATCGTCAGTGTGTCTGCCTTGTATATAATATCGATCGCACGAAGTCGTCATGTATGAATGAAGCCGCCTCCCTTGGAGTCTCGTAAATAAACACATGAATCGCGAGGTCGGATCTTTAAAGGATAGTTTACGCACGCTTCTGCCGCCGCGTATCCTGGCATTGAAATCACCACCTGATAATGGCTAGTGATTGCAACGCTGTCAATGGTACCCCGCGGCTGATTACCTACAACGAACCGATTCACTTATAAATTCTGAATACTAAACTGTCATTGATTTACATTCGTTACGAAAGTATTTCTCGCAGCTCCAATTTTTCCTACATACCATATAATTATAGAATTGTGTAAAAAACTGTTCGGTAGTTATTATATATGATAGAACTATTAACAGTATTTAGATTCACTATGTATTTAGAATTTTTTCACTAATTCCGAAATAAAACTTAAGTTCTATGCAAAAGAGATCGATAATAATAACCTGGTTTTTTGGTGTTATTGACAAGATTAACGCAAATCTTCAAAGATTATTTTATTTTTTAGTTTATTTTAATGCAGTTGAGCGATTTCTTCTAATAGCATTCACTCCGTTTTCCTGATTTAATATAGAAAATGATGTGTTAATCGTTCTATTAAAATCAATTTTGCAATATTGTTGTGAGAACGCTTTCTCTAAATTCTGCTACTTATTATATACACAATTGCATGAAACGCCGTTTGTACATTTTTAACAATTATTCTATCTCGTGATTACTATTTTAATTGTCGAGTTTCGCCGACTAATTTAAAGATATTCTTTTCTTTGTTCAAAATCAATATTATTGTACGTTTGAATTAGAGGTGTAATCTTATCGTTGAGTTTAATGCTATCAGTACTCCTTTTTGAAAGCCTTATAAATTTAATAAATTAAGTTAAAATTAAATGTGAATTTAAAATTGAATGTAAACATATAATTATGTTTCCCCCTCACCCTTTCTTATACTGGCATTAAATGCAACGACATAATATTCATTAACGTTTTCTTTAGTGCATGATCAATTTTTTTTTATGTATCCATATGAAATTAAGCCTTTTACTCTTCAATTTATCTTATACGTTTAAACTGGCGTTAAATGTCCTCCTGTCGTATTCCTCTTTATGACATAATCCTAGGAAGATTTCTACCAGAACGGGACATTCCGGTGTGCGTAATAAAATTTTTTCCTGCTCTATGATTTACATAAATTAAACTGTTGTAACTATCGGAATTTTCTGACGGATGTATTAATAGCGGAGTAATATATCGACACTCGACAGTTTGATATTCGTTGCGCCGTCACTTAAATCGCTGGAACGAATTATGCCCCCGCAGTGGTGAAAGGGTTGATCGATATATTAAATCCGACTTGCATTACATAAAGAAACAAATATATAGACGAGATCAGAGAAATATGCGCGCCAGCTACAAAAATGTAGATTTAACCGCCAATCAAACATTTTATAAATACATAAAAGAAAGAATAGAGAAGATTTATATTATAATGTTTCATCATGATGTAATAAAAAGTCTCTTCGTTCAAGACTTTATCTTGTAAAATTATAGACAAGTCTGCACGCGAGAAAGAAATTTTTATTGCATTTGTATTGCATGTAATTCCGCGAGACAGAACTTCGAAACAAAAAGAGATCGGGAGTACGAAAAAGATAAAAAACGAATTCTTTCGGAAAGTAAACGCAATTGAAATCTTCCGCGAAAGTCTAATTTATTCAGTTCCCTGCTCGTCGCCACGAGAACAACGCGTCCTTTTACATCGTGACAATAAGTCCATTTTAATTGCACTCCTCCAGCGAATCGGTTGCACGCACTAGTGCGCACCAAAGGTCATCGCACACAAATCGATGTAAAGTGTTTTAGCATACAAACAACTCGCGAATGGAAGGTTTGGAGTTGTATAAGTCACTATATTGTTTGGCAGAATATCGGACGTTTCCGACGACCGAGGCACTTCCGCGTTACGCTTATGCACTTTGACCTTTAACATCGAATAAATGTGTCGTTCTCTCTTAAAAAAAAAAAAAAACATACATGTTTACGTATTATGGAGATGTACGAGAAATCACCGATGCACATTTCCAATGAAGAAAACCGTGGCGCTAATAAAGACGTAATATACCCGTGAAAAAATTGTTGATATCAACGCGCGCGCGGGATTCCCAGTTAGAAGGGATTCCCTGCCGCGGTGTTCCCATTCTTCTCCTTCCCCATCCCGGAAGAGTAAACATTACCGTCTACGTCGCGTCTAGGACGCGGCGAACGCGAAGGATAGCCAGAAAACGGACGGTCCTTGCGCGGCGATCGCCTTGATCGCCAGCAGGCCGCGAGGTGAGCTTTCACTTTTCTCGATTTGCACAAGCGCGAGCGACCGAGCGAGTCCGTCCGCGACGCGGACGTCCGACACCGACACCGTCCTCGCCATACGGATTACGGACGCGGCGCGGCGAAAAGCTCACCCCCCGCGTGAGACGGGGGATGAGAGTGCGCGCTCGTTCCTCCTACGCGGCAAGAGGAAACGGGATGGTGGACGGACGGGAAGCGAGAGACGCGCCGGCGTTTTATCGATCAGAGCGGCGCGGCGCGGAGTGCTACCCTCTCGGCGCTCACCTGGACGCCGCTCTCCGTCGTCGCGACAACGGGAACGCTCGCTGCTGCTGCTGCTCGCGGCGGGATCGTCGGCGCCGTCGTCGCCATCCACGCTCCTGGTCCTCCCTTGGTCTCCTCTTTTTTTACTTATTCCTCTCCTAATTTCTCTCCCGAGCGCCGTCGCGACGCTACATCCACCGTCGTAGCGGCTCGTCGCGGGCGCGATCCGAGACTCGGTTCCTCCTCGCCGCGCGGGAAGTTTTCGTCGTCGCCACAGGCACGAACCGCGGAGACACGCAATACATATTACACCAGGTCCCTCGAGGGTGTCCGAGCACACGCTCGCTCGCACGCGCGCGCGTGTGCGTTATCGCGCCGCGCTTCGCTTTGATGTTGTACTTACTCACTCGCGCAACGTTACTACCCCGCGACGACGACACCCCGACGCGCGACGCGTTCGACGGACACTGGACAAAATGGCGCGCGTCATTGTCCCGCAACTCCGCCGCCAGAGCGCGCCCAGTCGTCGGGAGCGCACACACACACACACACTTGGTGGGGAGGGGCGGCCGCGGGGCGAGCGGCGAGCGACCGACCGATCGCTGCCGACGTCACACTGCGACGCGTGAGCGGCGTGAGTGAGGTGCAGAGGCTATACAGAAAGCGGCGGCGGCGGCGGCGGCGGCGATAGAGGAAAACGAAAACAGGTTCCTCACGTTTCTGCCGGCCAAAACCATACCTCCTCCGTATTCGAGTCACGTCGATACCGATTTGCGGCTACGAGAACTACTCTCGCGTGGCAACCTAGCCCGGAAGCGAAAGATTTTTCGAATATATCGAAAATAATGTTCGCACCGTTTTTTCTTCCCACTTTCCTTGTGATCCGGGTAAACCGGTATCCTATATCTATCTCTGCGCAGTTTACTTGATGGAGAATCACACGAAGACAGATCGAAATTAATTAAGTTAAATTGTAATTATTATACGAGAAAAACGATCGAATATCATTCTCGTTCTTGAAATGTTGTTAAATTAGATATTTCCTGATACGCTGTATCAGTGTTTATCATAAGCGTATAAAAAATACGATAATAAATTAGAAACAAAATATATCTTGTGATTTTTAACTCTTAGATTAATAAAAACAATATTTTATTAGAATAAGAGCATGTATTTGTCTCACAGTGATATTATTAAATTAACGAGATTATTTTCAATTAGACTGCTGTTAACTATGCTGTTAATACGTCATTCTTATATTTTTGATCCTGTTCGATTAAAAGATTGTTAGAGAGCAACTGACATTGTGTGCAATGAGAATTATAGAAAATTATAAATGTTTTATTCAAAAGAAATTATCAAAGAAATGTCAACAGTAAATTTCTAGATTTTCGTTCTGATTTTGATGCGATAATAAATATAATAAATAGTGAATCTTGCCAGATTAAAGAAACAATACACACATCCGCCCCGCAGAACAAAAACACGCGAATATTTTTCGGGATACGAATCTTTCCCAGCTCACTCGCCGCCGAGATCCCGTCGCATCATTCCTTTGGATCGTTTCCGAGTTGGCGCGGAGGAGGGTAACGGGGTGACGAGTAGCAATTCCTAGAAACGTTTTTCTCGTTTCCAAGAAACGGGGTGGTCGGGCTCCTGATTCTGCATTTATCACCGAAAGGCGCGCGCATGCTGTGCAGAGGATATCTCATACATCTTTCATGTATATATACATATATATGAGATAAATATCTAGATGACTATATCCTGAATATCTAATACGATATATAGACGAAATTGCCGCGTTCCGGAGGAGTGTGATGGTTGAGGAATGGAATACACGTCACGACGACGGGACGCACGTCATACGACATGCCGCATAACTCTCTGGCTTATTCTCATCTCGCTTTTTCCTCGGTAATCACAGTCCTTCGTCCATCGACTTCCCGCCCCTCCCGCTCGTCCCTTTCTCGCTACTATCTCGGAAAGTTTCTTTCATCGCGTCCGTAGCCGCAACCTGCCGCCGCAACCTGGTCGATTCTCAAATGACGTCACAGCCACTTGTCCATCCCTCTTCATCTCGTAGTAACCGTGACCGTGGCATTCAAGGTCTCACGTAAGCGCCTACGCACTACTCGATAAAAGTGTAGGAGTGACGAAAGAGAGATCGAACTCTGGAATAAATATATATATCTAAGAAAAATGATGAAAGGGTAAACTTCCTTCCTAAAAAAATCTGCGATTTCAAAATAGTGAATTTTCATGATTTCAAAATAACATAAATATAATCGCGTATTAATCAATGTTGAAATTTGTACATAAATCTGATATATTTAAATGCAGCTTATATTTTTACCTAAATACAATCTTTATTTTTAAAAATTATATACGTAATAAGACTTTCTATAAGTTATTGTACACTATATAGTGCATCATATTTTCAAATATTCATATGTAGGAATTTTTTAACTTATTCATTTTGTTCATTCCGTAAAATCGCAATGTTTCTTTTTCCTATAAAGATATAAATAGGATTAAAATTAATTTTGGATTCACTCCTTCTGCCTCTGAAGTACACTGGTAGAAATATTGGCAATTATAAGCAAAAATATCTTTTTCGAGTATAAAATTATAAGAAAATTCAGTTTCCATTGTGGCTCTTTAAGTTTTTATATTCCTGCACTACGTTTTCTACCTTTGCAAAAGCCCGCAAGAAATCGTCGTCCTCCAAACCAAATTGTTTATACTGATGCAAGAAAGCCGCACATTTGTAGGAGCCCCATGCCTTATCTAGATATACATCCAACGGTCGATGTATCTCCGAATTATTACTGACTAATGCCAGGAACTTGTCCCGGTTCAGAAACCTACGTTCTTGATGCAAATGAGTAAAGGAATTTAAGGTCCACTCTGGGTACAGATGTCTTTCCCGCAAATCTTCCAATGCTAGAACATCATTCTCTATAGATTTACCACGTGTTACAAGAACATTGGATACGCAAGGACTATATGTGTGAGACATTATTGTTCTGCTTAATGTAGGATCAGGCGTCCTTAATTGAGCATTCGTTAATTCCGCCTGTGACTTTGATACCCGAAGAGTCTGCCTCAAATGACGTATATACACCTCCCACTTGTGCGTGAGTTCGTACTGCAGAGATGTTGCAGGTGTATGGGGAGTGCTCTTGACCGTTGCGAACCTAAAGTTGGGATGCGCAGCAATTTTGGATATTAAAAAATTCGTGTTACACCCAGCGTTGTTGCTAGGTTGAAAGACAGCAAGCAATTTCTCGGAAATGATGCCATTCATGTCGCGCAACGTGGTGTTGGAATTCTTCAACAGATTGGTACACATAGAGTGCATCTGCTCGTTCTCGAACAACACGGAAAGGTCCGCTCTGTCCGAGAACTTGGCCAGCGTCAGTACGGTGTTGTAATTCTGAGTGCAAACCTCTCCGAAGGTGAACGGCAGTACGATCGCCGCGACGATAGGCTTGGTCTCGTACTCCTCACGCAGGAGCTCGACCATGCGGCTTCCTAAGCCGGACCCGGTGCCACCAGCTGAACCGAGAAGCAGAAGGAATCCCTGGGGCCGATCCAGCCTCTCGAGCTCCTGTCGCGTCACGTTCAGCACGGCGTTCGACAGGCGTCGGCTGTTTATCGTGTAGCCGTAGGCCCAGTTGTTGGCGGAACCACCGCCCGACTGGCAAACGACGTTACCTGTTCGATAGAGCCACGACGCGCTCGCCGCGTCCTTGCACATCTCGCTCACGACCTTCTCCTCGGTGTCGACGAGGATCGCCCGCGCGCAGTGCCGGCCGCGCTCCGCGATCCCGTCGAACCATCTCTCGATCGTCCTCTCCGCGTACTCGTAATTCGCGCCGTAGGAAACGTCGGTGTTCGGGCTCCCTAAATCGTGGGATACCTTCGAGAACAGATCGCATCCGAGTTGATTCCCGCACTGTCCGAACTGCAACGTGAGCATCCCCGGGTGTCCCTTCGTCCCACGACGACGACGTTACTCGATGCCATCAACAAGCTCCTCCGCCCTTCGCCGAACGTACATTCCTGACGCTGCAGAGCAGTAGAATACAGCTTCGGACAATTTACGATATGGAACAGTCAAAATATTATGGTTCTCATACATGAAAGAATTAAGTATCGAAACCGATGTTTGTAAATAAAGAGGAGCAGTCTTGTGATTTACACGCCGTGCGCTTCCCGCCAATACAAGTGTCGTTCTAAACACGAGTGCGTTCAGTTTCATACGTGATGCACATAACGCACCTTCTACACTCTTTGCACTTGAATGCCACGATTAACGTATATACACACCCACTCACAGCGACCAGTGTTTGGAATTTTTTCGCTGGATCGACCTATCAGAAAATGTCACATTAAATTAGCCAATTAGCGACGTGTAGTCGTGTTATTAATTAACGTATGCGTGATTAATTTTTAATAAGTTAATTTGTCCGTGCGTATATATATACATTATATATAATACGGTAACGCGAAAAGTTCAGGGATTTCAAGTGAGACACGAAACAACAACAAATCTCGTCGTTCCGAAGTTCGAAAACAGCATTGCTCAACGGTCGGTTGGCACGACTGACGTCGCCATTTCGAGCCGGCTGACGCGAGCCAATGGGAGTCGTCGCACGTCACTACTCCGATGTTTCCAGCGCCCTGGCCGTCAATTTGAAGTGATTTTCAGTTGTGCTTCCGTTACACGAGTATACGATCGTGTTCAACATATTTGCGTTGCGTCGTTGTTACACAGGATGACGGACTTCAAGCAACATTACAAGAATCCACGTCCGGGATTCGGCGACGTGGATCACAGGAGATATCTGCGCGCTTTCAACCACGATAAATCTCGCCGGGAGGTCAGAACACGGACTTTCGACAATAATCGCAACCTGCAAGACGTTTCGGCGCCAACGAGCCCACAGCCCGGTAAGATAATGAAGACCTCATGTTTCAACGTATCAGGGCGTCTTGACGATAATTACGATAACCAGTGATATCAGTAAAGATTTCCTTCGGGGCAGCCTTTTGTCCTTCACCTTTAGTATATATAATTTTTTCATTGAAATGCTTTTATAGCCTTTTATTTTTTTATCTGGATTTTGTGTTTTAATAAATATTATTTATTTTAAATCACTTCAAGTTATGATAAAAATACATTTATTCGATTTTGTTCGCAAATAAGGCAAAGAAAAAGAGTAATTATCGCTCAGCACTGAAAGAGAAGTAATTAAATGTGACATTAAATATAATGTCAAACAAAACGAGATAAAATGAATTTACGTTTCAAATTTAAGATTGAAGTAATAAATATTTACCATGCCAAATGTTCTTCATTAAAAATTTCACATCTGTTATGCTTCTTCTGGGAAATTTTATATTACTTTGGAAGATTGTTAATTAAATTTAAATTAATTAAAATTGAATTCTATAACAGTTAGTTGCTTTATAGAATAATCTATTATAGTCATTATGTGGAAAATTTAATGTAAAGAAATATATATAATTATAGTTATTACGTATACATGTATACTTATATGTATGTAGTTTTGTATATGTATTCTATGAAATAAGGATTTTATGTATGTTATGTAGTAACTGTTATGTACATTTGTTTTTTAATATATAGTATATTTTAACTGAACTTTTTCTCAACTGCTCTATATTTATACTATAAAATTAAGTAATAATTACAGGACATAACAAAAAACTTTTATTATTTTCAGCAAAGGATGTATCGACTGTTGCTGATGACCGTATGAAAAAATTAATAAGATGGAAAGAGGAACGCAACAGGAAGAAGAAGCTTGAAGCTGCCTTGAAAAAACCTGCTTTTAGAGTTGGTGTCGTTCATCACTCTTTATGCTCTCCGCGTATTAGGAGCGACACAGTTGTAACTGCGAAGAAAATACCGAAGAAAACGGAAAAGTCAAACATTACCAGGAAACCGCTTACAAGGGCTACAGAGAAACGTTTGCTAGAGAAAATAGCTTCTGGTAAGCAACCAATAAAGAATCTAAATTTGATAAAACGTCCTGTAAATACGAAAACGCCGACTCCTAAGAAACAGAAATCATTCGCCCCTCTCGATTATCGTTTTAAACCTCCATCCGGTTTGCCAAAAGTATCTTCTCTATTATTCGGTCTTGTATCAATAAAACAAACGCCGCAAGAAACACCATCGCAGAAGTCTGAGCAAACTTTTTCTGATCGTACAGAGAACTTGAAATCTTCCACGCACTCGACGTCATTAAATAAACAAAACTCGTCGCAGAAATTAAATAAATCGATTATTCGAGAGTCAGACGAATTAACTACAACTAAAACAACAAGATCTTCATTGAAGGAACAGGCTAAGAATCAGACAAGCATACAAGATTCCTTGCAAGAAGAAAAATCATCTTCATCAAGCAGTGATATTGATATGAAAACGTCACCAAAGACTCCAACATCTTCCGAGAAAGAAAATTGTAATATGGAAGATCTTATTATCTTTTCGCCGTATCTCACACGAAGCCGTGGTAAGAGAAACTCTAGGAAAGAGGGACAGCAGCGGCTGGGCATTGGTCGTCGATCTGAGGAAATCCCAACTAAAGAGACTGTTATGAAGAATTTGAACATATGCGTGGAAGAGGAAGAACGTACTGCTCAATACTTCAAGTATCTTGTGAACAAAGAAACGGATAGACTTAAGGAGATTTGTAAGAAATGGCTGGACATTGGATCAGAGAATGATATTCCAGAGGAAGCTAAATATGAGATACAACAAGCGGTGGGGCAGACAAATTTGTTGCTGAATAAAAAGTTCGAAAGATTTCGTGGTTTAGTACAGGACTGCGAGACTGGTAAAGGAGAAATGTTGGTTACATGCAGAGATTTGCAAGGATTTTGGGATATGACGTACATGGAGATCAAGGATTGTGATGCGCGATTTGAGAAATTGGAGCATCGTCAAAGCAACGGATGGCAGGAGGAGGAACACGCTGTTGTCAAGCGTGCTGTTAAAAAACGAATGCCTGTGAAAAGACAAATTGTATCATCAAAGCCAAGTGCTTTAAAATCGTTAATCCAGGCTGCCAGAAAAAATAAAATGGAAGCAGGAACATTAAGTAAGGAAGTTCTTTTGCCGCAAGATATACATATAAATGAAAAACCAATTAAAAAAGAAGCTTTTGTTGAACTTGACGAAAACACTGATAATCGACGTAGCGCAAGGAGATCTAAATCCCACGAGCTTACTGAAAGCAAATTAACTCCTGCTCGAGGTGAGAGCTTTAAAGCAATTTCGGTACAGAAAGTGCATTCATCTTCCGATAAATTCAAAAGAATGAAAAGTCCATTCGCTGTTATGAAAATAAGTCAAAAGTGTAAAACACCCGAAGTTCAATTAGATGACACAATATCGTACGTTAACTCCGATCAAACGCCAGGTAAGAGTATATTGAAGAAATCGGAAGAATTAGAGACTAAGGAAGCCCGCATGAAGTCCGCGCATAAAGTCAATTTTGATGATCGAGTAGTTTCGACTGAGGTCCCTCTTGATGAAGAAATCCAGACTCAATTAAATTTATCTGCTGCATTAAACAGAATAGATAATTTCGATTCAATGGAAACGATAAATCCATTACTAACGCCACACATTAATGCCGAAAAAAGATTAGACTTTGAAATTGAAGATACTTACAGCAGCGACGATCTGAGTCAATTGAACCTCACAATAAATACGAAAATAAAAAAACGATATAAATCTAAGTCGTCTATTCGAAATACTTCAGATGCTATTGTGCAGCCACTTAACGATATAACATCATCAGTACCCATGAAAGAATTATCGCCAAATAATGTGAAGATTACATCTAGGAAAAGTTTAAAAAATCTAATTCAACATAAGGACACACCAAGCAGAAAAAATAATATTTTGTTTTCACCTACAACGGGAGCTGACAAAATTATTACTGAAACAATTTCAAAGGATATGGAAGAGCTTGATTTAGGAATGAGAATACTTCGAAATAGAACTGTGCCGGCAAATAATACTCCTAAAAGCAGTCGTACTAGCAAAACGGTAAGCTATGATGTTGATATTTTTTAATTACATTAATTACTTTTGTCAATGTAGCGTTTATAATAGTTGATATTAAATATAAAATAATGTATCCCTGTAAAAATATTTTAATTGAATAAATGAAAATGAATTCTGAGACATTAATTTAGAGAAATTTTTTTTTTTTCAGATGACTCCAAAAAGGACAAATGTTAATAAAGAGGAAAATAAGACTCCTCGGAAGTTAAGGAAAAGTTCATCAAAGTTATCGCAAAAAAACGAAAATGAGTACATGACAGAAAATGGACGTAATATAATAGAGACTGTGACATTGGTAGACAATATTAAGAAAAGATCACTTCGAAAAAGTGTTACGTTTGATGGTAAATCTTCAAACTTATATATGTTTTGATACACGATACATAAATACATACATATACATAAGTTCAGTATACATATATAATTGTATTTTGTTGTAAACAGCAACCTGTGTGGCATGTGCCGAAAACAAACCAACACTGCCTATGACTCCTTATTCACGTCGTAGCAAGACGCTTTCAAGACAGAGTCAGAGCAAAGATGCACTTGACCTTATGTCATGGGACACGCCAGACAGAAAACATCGTGAGTTCTAGTAATGTATAAACAAGCGTAATACTTATATAAAAAAATATTAATCTTGTTATCAAAACTTATTTGTTTCAGAACGCCGTAGAACTACTAGATCTCACTCAAATAATTCGTAGTATCTTTTCACGTATTATATATTTATATGTTGTATTTGTATACAAATGAAGCTGACATGATTGCTTTTTTTATATAATGACATTTAATGGGTTACTTGCGTACAACAAATGTATTATAGAATATTTCATTTGTTTAACGTAATTTAAGATGTTCAATATAGGAGAATTTTTTATAACGTTTTTGATTTAATTTCATATTCATTACTTCAATTCTATATATTTACATAGCCTTTAAATATTTATAATAATTCACATAGTTGTAAAATTGTTGTAAAAAAATAATTATGGAATAAAGAAAGAAAATAGAATGTAAATAAAGAATATTGCATGAAACTATAAATATATACAAATATTTACAATTAAATATTCCCGAAACGGATTACCATTTACTTCATAGTTCATTTACAATCAATATCTGGTATAGAACGCAGACACGGAAATCAAAATAAAAACACAAGACTCGACAATTATTTCAATTCACCACTGTCACGGCGAGCTTCGCATTGAATATAATTACAGTCTTTATTCTCTGTTCAACGCATCAATTATGTGTATAAATCAAAAGTTATCTAAAGCTCTGTTGTCAAGAAGCCCACCATAATCTCACGCTATTGTCTTTATGCTTGTTTTCAACATCACATTGTCTCTGTCCAGAACTGGTTGCTATTATAGGTAAGTTTGTGTGTAAGCTTAGTCCATTTATACAATCTTTGGACAGTTTTATTTTATATTTTGGATTCAAATCCTCTTCATCGTAATTCGCGATTTCCGATAATTCCCACACAACGATATTTCCATCGACGCCACCTGTAGAATATGTAACATTAATGAAACATGTGTATACAGCATCACGTTCTTACTATTCCTTATTTTACGTTTTACTAAACTGACCAGAGATTATTTGTTTACTGTCAGGTGTAATAGCAATCTGTATTCTTTGATTGGTATCCGATTGCCTTCCTTCGAGAGAATAAAGAACATTTCCGGGATTACGGAGGTCCCAACACAGAAATTCACTACTTTTCCGGACAACAGAGAACAATTTCATTCCGCAGGGACTAAATTCAATTTGTGTTATACCACTCCCAGTCTTGAAGGTGCATAACGGTCCATCTTTATACAGACCTTCAAATGTAAAAAAAGAAAAAATTATAATTAGTAGATATGAAGTATGTATGAGAAATTTTTTTTTATGTAATAAACATTACCAGAAACAGGATACGTACCGATACATTTGGAATATGTACCGAAGGCGACTAGACCTGACATGGCTGGATTTTCACGGATACACGAGACCAATCCGATCATATTTGGAAAATCGTGTTTAAAGTGAATGTCGGTTGTCTGACGTCCGGGACGGTCCGTGTCGAAGATCCTCACAGCGTTCTTGAAACCACACCATATTTCTCTTCCTGAATCCACAAATTGCACGCTGATAGACGCTTCCACTTCGTCGACTCTGGAAAAAAAAAAAAAAACGAATTCTTGCAAGATTGCATTAAGAACTCTAGTAAGCAAATGTGATGTCACTACTAACTGATTGTAAGCTCGATACGTTGCACGTAATTCTCCCGTGAATGCATCCCACAAATGAACAGGACTCTCTCTACTGGTGCTAAGAAAGCAGCACGTTGATGGGTCCCACGAATTCATAAAGGGATACCAGCAAGTGTCGTATACAAGGCCACCTTCTTTAACGGTCAAAGCAGGCGCAAGGTTGGTCTGCACAAAATCAGATGGAACCTGGCCGGAGTACAATTCCCTGGGAAGTTCATAAATGCGTATCCTGAAGTCTTCCGACGGTACAAGTAAGCATGTTCCGTCTGGCGACCACTGGCATCCTTTTGTAAAATTCTCATGCAGGTCTATGGACTGATATTCCTTGGTGGCTGCACACAACAGCCTCGGCGCTGTGGACCAGTTGTACTTATAGACGCAGGTGGAATCCGTCGAGCTGGCACAATCTGAATTTATATTTCTTGGCTCTGTGACAATCGCAGCTTCGTTGTTCCCCGTCTGTTCAGATATTGCTAGATTTACTATTTGTTCTGGTAATGTTTCGCATGTTACCTATAATTTGAAGATTGATTATTTTGTTATTTGCTCAAGTAATACAGCAGGTGATTTTGTTACATGAATAAAGACGTTTTTTTTTTTTCAGTTTCTTAAGGTACGCTTGCCTACATCTATCTCGCAAACTTACCTGCGGCTGCGAAGAGGTAGGAAAGTCAGTTTCGCACGGCGAGACATTGAATTCCAAACAAGTTCCCGTATCTGTCAGATTGCGAGAGTCCTCAGTCGCCACGGATAAAGTTGACTGAGCTTGATTAATTTCACCAGCAGCGTTTTCTGCATCGTCTTGCGCCGTTTCATCATTATTACTTGAAATTTCACATGGTGTTGTCATCGAACGTGATTCAACAGTGGTTTCTTCACATTCCATTGTTCACTGTACGAAAGCACAGAGCTTGGAAAATTTCTGTTCGTTTATATTCGAATGTTTATATAGAAATCTCAGCACGCTTCATCGCACTCATCACGTATGTACATACAGTACTTTATATCACTTTTTGTATCGTCAGGTTGTCCCTCGTGTAGCAACGCGGATTTCGAATCCCGCCGACGACCGTGAAGTTAGGTTAAGAATTATGGTGAGGTTAGGATAAGTCGCGCGTGTGCATCGTGGTTACGAAATTACACGTTCGGGAGCGTTGCGTTCGTTTTTATGAAAGTTTCACGAGTGGCTCGCCTGGCTCGCATTTAGTGCGCACGGCGTCGTTATTAGTTGTTTTTGTCATAAATACCTTGATACATGAATTCAAACACTTGTCGAGGCGTACGTGGGAAATGCGTACGCTTCAATGGGTTCAATGCACATACAAATTTATGTGTCAGGTCCTATATATACACACGGTATACATCATCTACGATCGCAGCATCCAAGGTCGCCGTTAACATGTAAGACACTCTTGTGGGAAAAAAATTGATTATTTAATGTTATCATCTTTCCTCGTTTTTCTCTCTAAAAGTAAAAGTTTTAAGGACTTCGACATTTCGAAATCGGAAATCCATTGAATCTATTAGTCAGGAGAATTTGCACGTATACAGGTCATGATTGCAACGCTCGGAAACGCCACGAATGTCCCCTCCCCCTCCCTCCTGTGTATCATTTTATTATCTTCTTGTTCACCGAATGTTAAACAAAGATAAAATGATACACAGGGGCACACGGATGACGTTTCCGAACGCAGCTCCCTAGAAACATTTAAATCACAGAATAAATAAATAAATTATGTTTCGAAGAAAATTAAATTATTATTCTTAATTGCCAAGAGGATATACATATATAGACATTTGAATTAACATATTATCATAAATTTAATTGCTGATGACGAGTAAAAAATCCTATTGATAGTAATCCAGTAAACGCCGATGTCTAATCAAAATTGATTATATATGTATATCCGGTCATTTCATAAGTAACACAGTAATTTTGAATATTTTAAAATAATAGAATAAATTTATCTGCATACTGTATCGCCATAATATAAACGAAAAATACATAATTTAGAAATACAAATTTAGAACAAAAGCTAGAGAGGAGAGAAGGCGAGAGAAAGAATTATAGTGAGTGGGAGAGGAAAGTTATAATAAGGAAAAGTTGATTGAAATTTATTTAATAGTTCTATTAATTTTTATTTATAAAAAAGTAAAAGATATTCATTACTCAAGTTTATTTTAGACGATCTATAATTTGTGTTAGATTTCAGGATGCGTTTGCATTTATAATTTATACATTTATATTGTATGTTTGACGTATGTATTTTAATATATATTTTAAATATATGCGATTCAATTTTTCAATTAATTTTCGTATTACGAAGCTTATAAATGAAATATTTTGAATTTTGTCGCAAATCGTCCAAGATAGCAAAATACACGGACATATCGAAATATACATATATAATATACATGTATAATCGCGAGAGTTATAGATCGTTTCAAGTGCGAACGTACGTTCCATTTTTTTTCTTTCTCAATTCCTCTTCGCTCTTAGCGCATAATCGTGATACGACCGCCGCATATAAGAGGGATCGGTTTGCGATTGGTAGCGGCGCGCCGACGCTTATCGCGGAGAGACGACGACGTCGCGACGCACGTCGGCTAAGAGCGCTCCGGCGGCGGGCCGGCACCGCGCCGTGGGTGGGAGTCTCTTCGGCCCTCGAGAGTGAGCGAAGACTACCCGAAAGAGTCGTGCTCCACTCAGTCTGTCCGCGGGCGTCCGTCAAGCAGACTTCTCCGGCTCTCTTTCTCCCTCCCTTCGTCCCTACCCTCCCTCGTCGTCGGTCTCTCGAGGGCCTCGCGGAAGACACATGTCGTCGGCTGGTGGTGCAGCTGCTACCGGCTAAACCCGCGTAACCGTGCAACGCCGTTAACGTTAATTAGCCGACGTTTCTCCTAGTCCGATATACCGCGTCGCGTCGCGTGTGCCGCTTCCTCGGTTATTGTTATTATTTTTTAAATTTTTGTTTCGTCTTACGTCTTTTTCGCGCGAAATCGGTTCTCATATATGAAAGTGACTCGACGCGGTGACAGAGTGCTTGCAGTGCGGCCAGTGACACGCCAGACCAGCGGACAGGATGTGGTCGACGGGGCTTCTCTGGGCGATCCTCCTCGTCGGGCTCGCGATCGTCGGTTCGCCAACCCGGCACGTCGCCGACGGCTTCAACGTCGAGACGAAGCACTACGCGGTGTATCGCATGGAGGACAGGTCCATGTTCGGATTCGCCGTGTCCACGTATCGTGACAGATATGCCCGCGGATGGTGAGTTTTTCCCTTTATTTTTTCTTCATCGTGAAATTTACCGAGAAATGAGAACGTCGCGTCTAATCTCGAAGTCAATGTCATCGCAATTGAGTTGTGTTTTAAATTTTTCGTTCGTGCGGCATCGCGATAGGGAAAATTTGGAAACATAAATAATAATGAAGATTAAGTTCCGATTATAAGAGACTATAGTACTATATCGATTGTCAATGCGTCACGGGGCGAATCTTGTTCGTCACCTTTGAAGAGGAGTAGCGTAATTCAATGACTTTGAGTATCCTCGAAGAAGGAGCACCGTATTGCATTACCATAATTGCGCGTGTACACTGTGTAAATAATTATATCACTAAATGATCATAACTAACATATTAAATAATCATTAAGTAATCTTGTCTTTCTAAATTTATTGTGTCTCAACGAGAATATTCATTAGATTTTATTTTATGTTTTGAACTCAGCAGATAGGATCTCGTACATTGCCTCATCTCGTCGTATTCGACCTCGATAATATACTAAATATATCGTTGAGAATACGAATTCTGACAGACAGACGGTTAGCCAGCAACGTGACAAGACGCTTTATTCTAGAGAAAATTAGCGATCGTGCAAGTTTTTGTAAAAAGAGTCACATTTCTTAATTCTTTATTGAAGCATTATTCGTAAAAGCAACCGCAGTTGTAACGAGTCAGTTTTCTTCATATTGGAATATAATTAAAATTGTGCAATTACGCGAAATGATACGAAGAAACTGACGCAGACAATTGGAAAATGATTGAAATTATAATTAATTTAACTTTAGTACATTTCTAAATTTTAGATAAGTAAATGCTATAAAGATATAAGATGCAATAAGATAGAATTTAGACGAATGCATTTCCTAAAATGACAAATTTTTATCTCGTTAGCCAGCTGTTTGACTCATCACTTGATTACACATACGATTGACTCACCTTTCACTGCACGTTGCAAAATAGGAAATATTGGACGTTTTAAATTAGCGTGTGACTTGAATTTTGTCTGTGTCATCACGTTGAGGTAAAATCATTTGCGGTAGCATCATATCTTTTCCAAAAACGTATATACATTTCGCAGGGAACATGTATATTTATTAGCGAATCAAAAATAGGTATATTAAAAACTTTCGCGTCTTTAATCGAAATTCTTACGACAGCAGCGTGCTCTTGCATTCTTCGTTACGAAATAAATGTCGTCGTGCGCGTTGCAACTTTGCAAGTCAGAGAGAGCGACGAGTCTGACCCCTCCGTTCGAGATATCACCCGGCAAGATGAGGACTTCCATCTCGTGTTTCATCTCCCGGGCTTTAATAACGTGCGATAATCCTGCGCCCATCAACCGATAAGTACGCCTTGGGGACGCCCCGGCTCGCAGAAACGGTCGCAACCCCCTGGCGACGCGCCACGACCCTCCTTCCGCCGCGATCTGGCGCGCGAACGTGCTCGTTCTCGAATTTCGTGACTCACGCTCGCGACCGGGGCCACGAATAAACGTTTCTGCTGCGGCTCCCGCGCGTCGTCGGTCGGGTCGACGATTATAAATAATATCGGCGAAACGGGGAAACGCGGCTAATAGCGCCCGCATCATCGTCGAATCCACGGGAAAAATCGACGTCGACTGCATGGACAATAGAGCGACATAATGGAACGTTGCCGGCCTGCGCTATTTGCGACCGATTAGCGATCAGCCGTGAAATGGGCTGCACGTTTATATTCCCACAGTATAATATTCCTCGAGCATAGAAAAAACATTATTTCCAAAAGGAAATATCTGTCGCTATTAACCCCGGGGATAATTATTTAATTTTTCTTTCATAAATGATCATCTTGAATGTTTTTCATATCCTGAGTAAAAAGTCACTATTGTTAACAAATCATGATGTGTGTAAAAATCATTCTAGATGTGTGCAGCGACTATTTCCGAATTAAAAACTGTTTAATGTATTTTACACTTTCATGGAAAATATCTCATTCTTACGCAACATATCTAAAAAGAATTGTTATTGTTTCTGAGGGAGAGCGTTTTATATCAAAAATGTTACTTAACAAATTACGAGACGGCCGTCACGTTTGCGACAAGGAGGGGAAACGTCGACGCGAGGAAGGCCGCGCAGGAAGTCCGGATTACACACGAGGCCTTACGGGAGGTTTCTCTCGTGGGCGCTTATATTTAGGCCAGCTCGGTGCGAGCTTTACGAGCGCTCGCGTTCGCGCGCTCGTTAATTTCACCGTTCACGGGGATTAAAGCGGCCGATCGCCATCAATCCCGGGAATAGAACACGGGACCCCCGTGGCACTTGTACGCCCACCTCTCTCGATCATTCGGCGCGATCGATTCCCGTCGCTCGCGCGCTCCGTCACCCGATATCGCGAGTTTTTAACTCGAAATCTAAAATTACAGACGCATCTCTCTCTCTCTCTCTCTCTCTCTCTCTCTCTCGCACTTTGCAGAAACGGAGCGCGCCATGAAACGGAATGAGAGCCATAATTGGATCGGGACAAATTCGAGACTCCTATTCGCGCTTATCCGTCGCGTCGTTCGTATACAGGAGAAAATAATAAATTTTTTTTTACGCTTCTTTGCAAATTTATTGTCGGACGTATGTGAATTTAGACTTGATAATCTGATGATGTATCGATTCATCCATGAGACATTTTACGATGCAGGACGTTAGGTCAGAGATGCGACTGCGCGTTGCATGCGGCAGTTCGTCACACCCGTGCCGCTCCGATTAATATCTTTCGTAATCTGCGCGTTCGATCTATTACGATCCGCTACGTGACGTCGTCCTTTCCACGAGTTTCTTTCTCAATGACTCGTGATCCGATCAGGAGGGGGGGGGGGTTGTAAACGAACGTGCTTTGCTTCAGTAACATCCGGACGAAATTTTAAAATCTATTCCTTCCTTCGATCGTCGACGTTAGCGAGAGTAGTACCTATACGGGACGGAGGAGCGAACGCGAACTCTGGGGGAATCTTGTTTCGGAGGGAGAAGTGAATTGAGATCCCGGCCTCCCGTTGCGGCCTCATGCATATGATTGGGAGCATCTCGCGTCCGATGCCACCTAATATCTACGACCGTTCTAAAGTACGCACAATGTGCCATTACCACCGGCGGCGGTAATCTCCTCCATATATCTACCCGGTCGTACATATATTCATATATAATCCCGGCCTCGTTTACCATTCAGAAAAAAAAATGTAATGCGATTACAATCGCGGCTCGCGCACGGCGCGAACATACACGGCGGCGGCTGCCGTGTAAATCTTGCGGGAAATTGAAACTCAGATGTGACTTCGCGTGCGATCGCGCGCAAAAATCAGCTAATCCCTTTTATCACAATCAGTCGGGCGTGTAGTAATTTTATACGGACCCGTTAATTCTCCGCGCTTCTTCTGCAGAGATGGAGGACTTCGCGAAATCGTTTGTTGATTTATCGGCGCTTAAATTTAATATGCCTGCGCAATTTTGCTCCGGGCACGATGCATCTCGAAGACAATCACCGGCGAGGAAGCCCGCCGCGAGAGTAAGGTGTATAAATGTCAGCGTATAGCAGAACACGTATTGCGTGATTCATTGCGCGATCCCATCGACGATCGTGTCTTTAAGAGGCGAATTCAGTCACGACCGCGTGTGCACGGTAAGAGGAACAAATGGGAAGATCGAGTCACGCGCGCGTCGCGTCGTCTCCCGGGCGGTATCGATGACTACTCGTCCATTTCCCGAATTTGCCGATCGTATACGCGGAAACCTGCCTGCCGGCCGCGAGCCGTGTGTACTAAATATAGAATATTATTTCACGACGCCGCGAAGTCACGGCGCGGAGCGAACGTCGATAAGCCGAGAGTCGTGAGCGTTCAAGGCGAAATGTCAGGAATAGCGATATCGGCCGCCGCTTTTCAGCGTCGCTTATTACCGATTAAATTAACACCTCTGGTAGGAGGTTACTCCAATTAATACAATTATTACTACGTGATTATGATAATTTAATTATATACTGCAAGCATGTAAAAATTACATTATTTCTTGGGTATAACTTGCATAAACTTCGTATACTTGTATATAGAGTTTATATAACACCGCTTATATTTTGTAGGACGAAATATTGTAATATGAATTCAAATGAAAAACATTTTAATAAACTAACGGAACAGACTTTGAAAGGAATTGTTTAGTTCTATATATATTATCTTATGATATTTAAAGATGTGTTTTATGCAAACGCAGATAACCATTGTTCTCTTCTTCAAGAAGCTAAAAAAGAACACATTCAAAACAATTACTTTATTCGCTCAATGCTATTCTTGAAGTATCTCGACACGCGATCGCCGATCGACCTAACTGCTTGAAGGCATCGCAAGTGTATATCAGCGATGACGTTGAAATGCATGTAAATGATTTCATGACGCGACGTCTTGTGAGCAAAGTAAATATACCGATAATCGCTGTTCAGAGAGAAATAACGAAATCAATTCTACCCGATGCCATTGTTCGGTCCGACGATTGAAATCGTTAATTGACACGCGTCACAACACAACGAAGTAAAGATATCGCTGGACCATTTCTTCGGAGAGAGAAATTAAACTCTCTCCTTTGTAAGCCGCTATCTCGTGCAAAACGTTTCGCGCTGATATTCCGGGAAGCGTAGTCTTCTTATCAACGGCCGCTTCCACGTGATAAGTACACGGCACGGCAGTTAATGACGAATCACAGCGAGCTTCGTTTCAGCGCAAGACGATGTTATGTACGAGAATATTAGATTATTGTAAAATTCAAGAGAATATTATAGGTATTACGGAACGATTAAAGAGAAAATATTAGATATTATATTTTTTCCGATGATCTGAGAGAAGAAAATCGTCGTATATGATGAGATAATATGAGTATCTTTTACGTATTATTACATAACTTATATTTTTCACGATTACACGCTCCTCTTTCTCAATGTTGACTTCCGATCCCTCGTGTGCGTCACAGGCCGGTT